TGCCTTATATTTGCCCCCAGCAAATTTGATCTGAATCTATGTCATATCAATTGCAGAAACATATTTTCTGGTTTACACTTTTGAATGTTATTGCTATCTTGGGTAAAAGCGAAGAGTATATACCTTCCTTTCTATGGTTGCTTTAAACTGGGGGACGAACAATAGCTAAAAATTAAACGGTCGTTTTTACTTAAATTTTATATTTTCAAGATCTTAAAATTTACCTTAGCCCTTTTTCTTCATCTCTCTTATTTCAGGTATCAATTTGTTTCATTTCTGATCTTTTCAGGTTAATGGATAATAGAATACTTCGAACTCTGAAATATTCAGTTAACAACGAGATTCGCTGCACAATTTATCTGTCAGTATAACAAACACTTATAAGCAAATGTTGTTAATCTTGTGGAAATTTGAAAATGGCCAAAGCAAGACTCTCCTTCACGCTTGTGTGTAGTAAGTCATTTAGATGAAACTACTCACGATGGGCACAAATGACGCCAAAGCTATATAATCCTCGTATTTTAAAATTATTTTATCGTGTCATGCTCTTTAAAAATTATTTATTTGATGTATCATAAGTTAAAATTAAAATTTTGCTGTCAAACTTGTGACGTCATTTTTCCGCCAAAAACCATCAAAACTGAAATAAAAAGCATACCATAGTTTTGAATACAAATTTCTTTCATCTAGCATAGTTTTGAACATAAGGATTCGCAACTTTTGCTGTCTTGATTTTTTCTTTTCTTTTCTTGTAACATTGTTTTTAGAAATCCATACTTGTCTGAAACAGAATCAATCGCTGTTCCTCTTCCCAAATCTGAGAATGGAAAAGTTTGGATTTCTGCTCTAGAGGCATCGGGATTCACACGGACACCAGAACAAAGTGATGACTTTTGGTTTTTCCTTCCGTGCCCGGTGGGAACATTTTCCAACTCTTCTTCTCAAGGTTCGGAAGGATGCATATCATGCCCTCCAGGTATTGTATAGTTTTACATCATTATTGTTCCTCCGTGCCTGAGCTATATCATCTGAGTAAGAAGTCTTTTGATCGCCAAAAAAAGAACTTTCTCCAACAACATTGTTTCACTTTATTAAGCCCCTCTTTTGTGTTGCCTTGGTCCTCCTGTCATAACGACTTGATGATTCTTGAGCCACTCATACTGTGTCCTTTGCTGTTTAGGAGGGTTTTACTGCGACGATGTAGGCTATGTGGGAACGACTGGTAAGAAATGCCCAAATGGTTCCTTCGTAGCGTATGATAAAGCACCTGGGACACAAGTGCAAGATTGTAAGACCTGTCCTTTAGGTAAATAACAATTAATATAACTGAATGAGCAATATTTGCTCATAGTTTCTTTTCTTTTCTTCGTTGACCATTTGGAGTGAACAAGTTATTGTTATTTACTCGCTCAGAAAAAAAAAAGCAAACACCATCGCGAAAAAAGTTGGGTATCAGGTGTTTTGGTAAGGACATACTGGTCATTTAAGAAGCTAGTATCGAACCCTCAAAAACATCTTTCTTCCAACCTTCAGAATTCAGATTCGTTGAAATTTGTTAAATTTAGCTTCGTTTTTCAGACCTCATCACAGTGTCTGGCTTATTCGTATATCATAATTTAGTTCGGACTCGATGAAATTTCAATGTACTAGTTTTATAGTTTGTTTTTTTTTTGGTTGATTGTCTCTTACTCAAAATCTTGAATGTTTCTTAATCATTCATAGGTACAGACAGTGATCTGTTTGCTGGACTGCGTGCTTGTTCATGCTTGAAAGGTTATTATCGGACTGATATGTTTGGCAAATGTCAAAAATGTGGAAATGGTCTTGAATGCCAGAATGAGTTTGCCACTTTAAAATCTGGTTACTGGTGGAAATGGAGAAACAATACTCACAAAGATAAGTACCAAAGTTTTATAGACAATCTCTTGTCATCTTCGCCGGCCTTGGACAAAGAGAAGGTGCAATATTCATTTCCTTTGCCAACTCCATACAAGTGCCCAAGGGAAAAGTCTTGTAAAGGTGGCATGGATTCCACTTGCGAAGATGGATACAAAGGCCCACTTTGTAGTGTATGTACAAAAGGACACTATAAGAAGTTACACCAGTGTCAAGAATGTCCATCTAAGAAGTTGATAGCAGCACAGCTGTTTGTCATTACTGCTATTTTGTTGATAATCATCGCAGCTTGTGTTTGGAAAGCCAAAAGGAATGGCCAGGAGAGCGAAGTAAAAACCTCCCTCATAGATATGTTCTTATCCAAAATTAAGATCGTAATTGGGTTTTATCAAGTCACCTACGGTTTGCATGAAGCTTTTTCATACATCGAATGGCCAGAGTCCATACGGGTCATCAGCAAGTATTCAGAAATACTTCAGTTCAATATACTTGAGATGGCACCAGTTCACTGTGTTATCACCGGACTGCGGGCAGATGCATTCGCTAATTTGTTGTCAGTAATGTTAATAAATGCTACAGTTACTGTGTTCGCGGGCGTCGCCATCAGCGTGTGTAAAGTGATCAGTTTGAGTAAAAGCATCTTGGAAGACGAGCAGAAGTCAAAGAAAATCTCGAATCTCAAAGAAGCATTTTATAAGAATTTGTTTTTCTTTTTGTACGTAACTTACCTCAGCACGTGCTCTAAGACAGCAACTGTCTTGCCGATTGCCTGCCAAGAACTTTGTGAAGACGAAAAAGAAGGGTTTTGCCTGAAGTACTTGAAAGCAGATTATAGCATACAGTGTTTTGATAACCGGTACAACAAATTGATAATAATTGCCTATATTTCTGTCGCCTACATTTTTGCCCTTCCCACAACCGCATTCATCTTTCTCTGGAGAAAACGAAGAGCAAAACAATCGTTAACATATGTTGATCAAGGATTAAGCGACGAAATGATGAGGGGAATGCAATTTCTTTACGAAAACTACAATGGTGCATCTTGGTATTGGGAAATAATAGAAATGTCTCGTAAAGTAATCGTCACATCTGGCCTGATCCTCGTGGGACAAGAAAGCAGGTCCTACATTGGCCTGGCATGGGTCATTGCTGGTATGTACGGAATCATGTTTGCCTGGAATCGCCCTATACAAGACGCATTTGATAACCTATTGATGACAGCATCCGTTGGTGTTACTGTTTTCAATTTGGGTGTTGGGAGTATCAGCAAAATTCCCGCAGAGAACCTGCCTGCAGCGGCGGAATCGTACGTGGAAACCGTTATGTTCAATATATTGGTTCTGGCAGCGAACACGTTGGTGATTGGGCTGCTAGCTTGTAAGAAAATTATGTTGTTGAAAAGAACTTTGACCTAGCTAGAGCTCTTGAGACCAATTCCATTCAAAATATAGCGACCACAACCTATCTTAATTTGTTTTAAATACATCCAAAACGCATGCTACCCTAGGACTAAATGTCGTTGAACAGTTGCAGCTACTTCGACGGCATCCAAAGAAATATCTGTGCCTGTGACGACTTAGTCAAGGGGGAAACTAGAATAAGAATATAGTTACTTATTATGCTCTTCTTTTCTCAGTTCAGTACATATGGCATCTTTATGAGTATATTATGGAATGGCGAAAAAACCCACAGTGGTCGTTTTCATGCTGCTTGGCCCTGATTGTTCCTCTTGTCGGTTTGCCAGGAGATATAAGTGGTTTTGAAAGCTCAAATGCAATAGATAACCAGCTAGAAATCGGAGAAATGGAAATTTCTACTACATCTGACGCCGACCAAGATGACACTCTTGGGGAAAGGAAACAAAATAATGGTGACCTGAAGGAGGCCCAAGGTGACGGCAGCACTTTGAGCGTCCGGTCCCGAGCTGAGGATAAAAGAACGTCCGCCGCAGATCAAGGAAGTGGAGCCATTAATGTCCGGGTGGGCGAGAACAAACAAGGTGGTGATAACGATGGAAATAATGGCTACCATGTGGTGGATAAACTTAACGATGAAAAAGAGGGGAAAAGCCCCATTGCCACTTCTCTGAGATGTAGGTCCAACAAATGCCATCAAGGGACACAGACGGTGTTTGCGCGACTGTGGAGCATAAGCCAGTAAAGGGTACTTGGAATTAGTAGTCTGTAAGTGCAGGACATTTGACATTTTCCTTCGCCTGTTAGTGCGAAAGCGCAGTAAAATTTCCACAGGAAATACGTGTAAATAAAATTCGTTCATTGGTATTATAATTTTTTATGCTGGCTTTTTTGCTCTAGCTGATCAAAATTACTAACAAATGATTAATCGATATCACTCGTGTTGCTAGAAGTTACTGGAAACTGCTATTAACACGTTTCTCCATGTGCGATAATATATGCCTGACAGCAAAACATAGAAGCCGACTTGACATTCAACAACGGTCGACAAACTTAATCTTAACCGGTTTGTCTGGGACGGAGAAAAACTTTTGACGCAATTCTACTGGCTCATGGTGATACTCGAAGCGAAATCTCTGTAGTAACTGCAAAAAAGAGAAATAAACAGTAAGAAAAGCCAAAAAGGACGGGACGAAGAAGGAGGGGGAGGAGAAGAAGGAAGATTTGTTGTTTTAAGCTGTTGTTGATTACATCTTATACATTTTTTGTTTATATGTGTATTTGACGTTAACAAAACTTTACAGAACGGTCTCCCTGTTTGCGGTAGGAGGTGATTGTTAACACTTAAAAAGGGTTTCGTTCCTGTGATTGAAGGGCTACTTTAAGTTGAAGATTTCACCACTAACTGATTGTCGAGTAATTTATTTTCCACTTGTAGTAGTAGAAGTCAACTGAAAATTCAATTAATATTGCAAAAAAGGTTACTACACAAGTCAATTTCGGTGGAAGCGATGACGGGCAAATAGACTTACAATTTGTATTCCATATGCGGCTAATAATCTTCGACGTGTGACCGGTGGTGACACTTTGCAAATGTATAAGTTGCGTAACGAACTTCTAACTTTTAAATAACTAGTCACCTGATCTATTTTCCCCGCGTCGCGCTAAGTCGAGATGTCGGAGATAGGATAAGTAAATATTTAAAAAAAACTAAGCAAACGGCTTGAAAAAATGCAAATCAAAAAGTACTAACCTTACACATTAGGACGTACATCTCCAACTCAGCCACGCGACGACCTAAGGGAAATGTGAGCCACGCTTTAATAGTGAAGTCACGGCTTACTGCATGGGCGAAAGCAACCCAGAGTAAAAAAAAAAAAACAACAACAACAACAACACAATCACACTGTTAACTAGAAAGGAAACCACAAGGCAGGGATTAGTTACGATGACACGAAGAAACGATTTTTGCCTAGCAAACGCCGCAGCAAACACAATGGGCAGATAGATAGTTTTCCAAGACTGGTTTTTACTCATCTTTGTCATATAGAAAAAGAGCTGTAAAAACCAAAATGATCTCATATTATTTTCGTGAGTGTATTAATCGTAGTTGTAACGTATATTTGTAACTCTTTTACTGGTGTTTGTGTAATTGTAATTTAAAGCTCCTAAGTTGAAAAAGTGACTTAGAAAAAAAATTCCTGCTGGTGATTTAATGATATTTCCGTGTGAGTACACGTGAGTAGGGTTATATGTAAGCTTGTGCTTAATGATATTCTTATGTCCTTTTTTACATTGTAAAGCGCTTAGAACAGCGATGTATAAGCGCTATATAAATTCCATTATTATTAGTAGTAGTAGTAGTATTAGTACCGTAATAGAACAAGAGTCAGTGATCAGTCAAGCCTACAACCGGCGACAAAATTGTTGAGACACTGTCCTTAAATAAGGGCCTGTTTACATGGAGGTGGGGGACCCCAGGTAGGTGAGGTAACCCGCCTGTCCATATAATCTCTCATTTTAATTTGATCGCGTTTACATGATACGTGGGGTGACCCGCCTCATGTTACCTCACCTACCTGGGGTCTTGTAAACAGGCCCTAAGGTACTTCGAAGATCAAAACAATCCGCACCCCCTTCCGCTTCCCCCTTCCCCCATTCAAAGTTTGGGTGTTTATTGCTTACAACGCAAACAGCGGCAGCACAACATTACTTAAGGGGGGAGGGGAAAGCTACATTTGCCGCAGTTTTGAAGTCGGCAAAAGGTCAGAAAGGCCCTTTAGGACGAAGCGTCTTTACTAAATTTGTCACCGATTAAAGATTCATATCAGCTCTCTTTTCAGAACTTAAGATAATTATGTTAGTCTCTCACTTACAACTAGAACATATGGAACATTTTAGAAAATGTATCGAATATTAGGGACTTTAAGATCCAACGACGCGGACGGTAACGAGAACATAAAAAAAACAACAACAATAGGTTTTATTAGGTAAAACAACAACTTTGCACGTGCACCATGCTCTTTTGTAAATTTCTCTACCCGTTTTTGCACGACTACGACGTGAACATGCCTAATTTCGCGTTTTACCGAGGACGTAAACAAGCAACGACGAAATTTTATTTCTCTTACTGTACTTGGATATGGTGCCTAGGAATTCAACTCCAGGAGGGTTCGCCTACATTTGACAAAGTGAGTGTGTAGGAATAATTGCGATATAGACTGAAAGAACGCAAATTCACTTTTTAAGCGACGTTCTCATTACCGTTGCGTCGTTGGATCTTAAAGCCCCTACTATCTCTTCTTACCAACACACATACGAGGCCCAAATCCAAACTGTAGATGAGAAAAGGGGTGAACCTCTTTACTTTCTCTTAGCCAGCGCTCTGGTTTGAACTCCAAAGGGTCTCTAAAGTACTTTTCTGAGCGTGTCGTGGCATATAAATCCATAAATACGAGAGTCTGGAAAAAAATTTATGCTAATGAAAAATTGAAAATTTTTTACCATGAGTATTTCTTATCCTGCACATTAGTGGGTTGGTGGTGCGAGGAACGCATGTGCAACCCTGAAACACACTTCGACGCCTGCTTCGATGGTAGACAAAAGCATTAGTCAAGAACAAATGAGCGTAATCACACTTTTGAATCTGTAAGGGCCAAGTACTAAGACTCACTTGAGCTGGAACAAGGTATCCCGATAAAACAACCTCCTCTTCCAAAATCCTTGCAATCACTGTAGTACTTGGAGTGAGTCTAAAATAATAACAATAATAATAGAAATTATAATAATAATAATTAATATGTCAAAATACTTTATTAAAATCTTATAAAAAGCTGCACACAAAACTTCAGTAAAATACTCATAAAAAGAAAACGTCAATATCAATACAAAATTCCGGCAAAACCTCTTCGTAATTCAAGAAATAACATAGAGTTAAAAAAATCAAGTCAAAAGTAACAGCGGATGACATAAACGTCAATGCGCTGATTCTAATAATACGGATAAGTTTCTGATCCATGAGGCAAGATATAAATCTACTGCGGTTCACTTTCCGTACCAATTTCCCGATAAGAAGGTGTAACTTAAAATTAAGAGATCGATGAAAAACATTTAAAAGTAAGGAAACACATCAATAGTCCTATTGGATGGCTCCTTCATCAACATTCCTAATGTCACATGGCACTCTTCTTGCCCTAGAGCCTTCAAGAAAAACCAACGCAGGTCTCAAGAGTGCCCATGAGGTTCTGGTTCTGGTCCATGAGATGATTTTGGTATACTTCTCCCCTTTTTTGATGGCAATCAGCTGTGTTAAACGGCTATGATACATCAAGCACTCCTTCCCCATTCCGCCAGTTCTGGTGAAGACCAAAATATTCCATGCTCAATGTCAAGAATTCTCTTTGAGTAGAGACGCTTTTTCTCTCGTTCTCATGGATACGATAAATTTGTTGTCGGTCTAGGTCCCTATACGATACAGCATTAAGGTGACAGACCCTCACATCGACGAATGCCGATGGAAGGCGCTCCCAGAACTCACGTGCGTGGATATCTACCCTCGCATCCTGAGCTTTATGAGATCCTCTGTTTAAATGTTCGCCGGAGCTGTCTTGGAGGACTGCCTCGATCTCGACATCGCTGCACACCACACTCAGAAATTCAGCTTCAAGATCTCTTAGCTCGTTGTGGTGTTGAGTGAATAAAACCTCCTAATTTTGCAAATCATAGAGTGATCGACCGTAAAGGCTTCCCCACAAGCGCATGTGGAGGGGATATCTTCCGCTGGCCAGTGAGTGGTAGCGTAGTTTAACAGCTTTACGGATCTCCCTCTTATTCGGGTTAAAGTCCAAATCCTGAAGAGGAAGCACTGTAAGCCATGCTGATGATCCCTTTTCTGTGGCTAGATCTAGATCTTTCTTGGTGCCATCTCCTAAATACGCTCTGCCCTATGTTCGAGTTCCTTTAATCTTTCACTTCTTACTTCCTGTTGTGCTAATTTTTTGAGGGAATCCTCTGGTAACTGATGTGACTGAGATACAATTTGTTCAACAAGGGGCTTTGTTACTTTGACAGACGAAGCATATTCGCGCCTTGCTTCAAGGGACGGGTTTCCCAGGCCCAGGCCACCCAAGCGAACTGGCAGCGCTAGAATATTCCTATCCAGCTGATTACACTTTCGCTCAGTAATCGCAGGAATGAGCATATGAGGTATTGCATTCTGTAATGGCTCTAAAAGATCTTGAATGTCCGGCAATTTCTTTGAAAAGTCCGCCCACTGATGTTTCAAGCCAAAGGTGTAGGCCTTGTAGGCTGCGTAGCATGCTTGTGGTTGAGATAGAGCAAATTCAGCTAACTTAGCTATGTCATTGATCCAATTGGTCACCTTTTCGCTGACATATTCCGCTGAAGACTCCCTTGAACCTATTGCCGCCCCAAGGTGTTTCTGCCCTTGTACTGCTACATTAATGGACGTGTCCTTGAAAGCTTCCCAGACACTTTCTTCCTTAGCTGGTTTTGCGATGATCCAGCATTTCCCGTCGTTCGGAAAATAACCAAAATCGGGACCAAGGGTGCTAACAACATCCCACTACTTCCTAATTTTCGTAATGGAGCCAGCTCTACCAGCATCATCTGAAAACCAACATTGCGTCACACTAGACGCTGCTTGTAGACTCGTAATTAAAGGCTGGATGCTTAAGGCATATAGACCCGTAGCACGCGGTTCGCCCTGTGTTGTTCTTTCTGCTGACACGATCTCTTTCCCACCAATGACAAATAGCAGAGCTAGCTGTCTGTAGGTATTAATAGCGTAAATTGCTTTTATAGGACACAGAATCCGGATGTTGTGAAGTGCGGCTGCTCTGTTGAGTGCGTTGAATGCATTAGAGGCGTGGATGAGCAGTACGTAGTTCCCCACGGTAAATCACATAGATTATGTTGCGTTGGCTTTTTACGTCGTTATGGTGCGATGAATATTAAATATATTAAAATAAAATGTATCTTTTTATAAATATTTTATGATGCCTTCTAAAGGTAAGATCATCTTCAATCCTGTATTCCTTGATTATCAAAGACTAGTATATACATACTCAGTGATCTTGGTGATTCAAGCAATCTGATTGGTTCCCTACCTCGGACTATGACGTTACATTCACCGCACTAGGCGGTGCATATAAAGCAAAACAAAATCGCTGTCCTGAACTGGGTGTTCTGCGAAGTTTCAGACTAAGAATATCCCAGTGTTGATGATTTTGAAGGTAAGAAAAGACTTCATGGTGTTTAAACAGCGTGATTTAGTGTGAAGTGATTTACTGTAGTTGACTCTCATACGCTCGAAGCAATGTTATTACCACTACAGAGGAAAACGAGGCCGCTTTGTCACTGTTTTGTGAACTCGGGATTTCCTCGCAAGACCAATTTTGTCTAGAAATAGAAGTTAATCAATCTTAGCCGCTGTTGACAGCATTTGCAAGAAGCGACAAAAGAAACTTTCTGATTCACGGTGAGTTGACAGAGGCAAATACAGCTCTGTGTTTCTTCTCAGAAACGGGAGTTATTTCAACTTTAAAAGTTTCTTTTCAATTATTAATGTTAAAGCTTACAAAAAAATTAAAACTATGACATGCCATGTTTGAAAATACTGCAGGTCTCAGAGAGTGTTATCCACCTCCACCTTCGGCCTCGGTGTATAACACCCTCCTTGATCTGCAGAACTCTTCATATCCTACTCAGCCTCATTCAATAATTGCCAAATAATCCCCTCGACTTCGTCTCGGGGATTATTCTACAATATTAAATTCGCCTTCGGCGAATAATTGTTAATTAAACTACTGAAGAATCAATTTCCCTTAAAAAAAAAAAAATGTACATAGTATGGTTATATATTTGGCTGAATATTGCGAGCGAGCAAGGTAGGCTTTAAAAAAATAATAAAGCCTGTTCAACTTTTCCGTAGACGCGTGCGATAAACTCGAAAGTAAAACTTTACTTAATCAAACCTGTCTATTATACTTAGGAATATGCAATTGCAAAATTAATCTTCTCTAATTTAACCTCATGGACTCCTTAAGGCACGCCTTGAGATAGCGTAGTTTGGCGAGATGCTGAGGTGTGACGTCATCATCTTTCCCCAAAACACTTTCTATCTCTTGATAGAGCTTTTCTTGGACCTCAGGAAATCGTGCTAAGTTNNNGTGCGATAAACTCGAAAGTAAAACTTTACTTAATCAAACCTGTCTATTATACTTAGGAATATGCAATTGCAAAATTAATCTTCTCTAATTTAACCTCATGGACTCCTTAAGGCACGCCTTGAGATAGCGTAGTTTGGCGAGATGCTGAGGTGTGACGTCATCATCTTTCCCCAAAACACTTTCTATCTCTTGATAGAGCTTTTCTTGGACCTCAGGAAATCGTGCTAAGTTATACAGCCACCAAAGGGTAGAAGATGACGTCTGCATAGAAAGAAGATGAAAAATTATTTATTATTTTGTTTTTTTTAACCGCACCAAATAGCAGTCTACTCGAGTTCAAATTTTTTTACTCATTATGTAAACGTAAAAAATAAATGCAGAAAGTTCAAACGCGCGTGATCAACGTGCGTTCTGTGCATTTTATACATTCTTAGTGGAAATCCAAACGAATGCTTGCTACATACATGCGACGCATGGGTAATAACAACCTGAGATTAGGATTGCAGGCTCCTCTTGTCGCCCGCAATAAATGAAAATAAAAAATGAAAAGCTTTTTGTAACTGTCTAAAAGTCTACCCAGAAATAGTATGTCTTAAAATAATGTGATATGCGTCACTGGGAAACTGCGACCTCATTCAACATGGCCGTTTTCTCGAATTTTATTAACATACAGGTTTCTTGAAACAGATCAGAAACTAAAAATGTTTGCTTTGCTAAAACGAAAGTCTTTTTTTTTACTTTTGATTTTTTATATCTTCTTTGGAGCAAATTTACGTTTAAACGTGTGCGTAAAACAAGTAATATCTCCCAAAATGTTTATTATTATTAATAATATTATTATTACCATAACTATTATTATTATTATTATTATTACTATTATTATTAATATCATCTCTTTTGTCACAGTCTTTGCTATTGTTCTTTTTGTACGTCAGCGGGGCGCAAACCATTCACCTGGAGCATCAGTCACTCAAGTCAATCAGTCTGTTCACACACTATAAGCACCTTCCTGAGGATTCGTGCAGATCCCAGCATGTAGATCTTATGGGTCTCCTTTATAGCAGCTCTCCTGGTACTTTCGTGATGTTTTTAACCATCTGCCACAATATCTAAGTTTCCAGTCCTAGGTCTTCGTCATTGCTTTTCTTTTCGATTTCCTTCAGTGCATGAAATGGTATTATCATTATCATTACCATTATCATCAGTATTATTACAATTATTAATCTTACCGTATCAACGCCAGCACTGACGACATCAATTGCGTGTCCACTGATCTCCTCTAACGTAAGATCTTCCTTCATGAGTAAATATGTCAACAGTGGAACAACTAAATCAAAGAAGCAAATTTAACCAACATTGTTGGCAGCTGTTGTACACCGGGAAGAAATTTTGCATAGCTAATTTATCCCACACCACTCTCCTTGACGATAGACATTTCTCACGATAACTCAACAAGAAAAAAAAAACATCTCTCTTAATACTTAATGCTACGTCCAAATGATCGACAGTTTGTCAACGAATAAAGTTCGTTTTCTCTTCTGCCAACTTCATTTCATTCTGTATAAAATGGTAAGACAGACGGTCGAATGTTTCTGTGCTTAAATAAGTTTCATTTCAGTTTATTTATTTTCCAGAAAAATATACATATACTTACAGAAATACATTAAATATATTACAAAAATGTTAGTTAGAGTAGATTAAAAAGACGTAAATTGGGGCTTATTATATGAGCTCCCCAGTAAAGGGACCGGTTGACGGTTCAGCGCATGCTCATTTATCAAAATGCTGTTTTTCTGCCGGGACACGTTGTATCGTCTATGCAAGCAAAATGATCATGTCATAATGTTGTCAAAGAACCAATCTGTACAATCCCCTCGCAGTCACTTGATCAACTTAAATATTTGCAAATAGCTGTAAATTAATCAACCATGGAATAAAACCTTCGGGTCAACAATAAATTCAATGTTCGTAGTGTTGGCAAAATCCACTAATTTTTTCTGCGATTTTAGTACTCCTCCATCCTACTTCAAGTTACTCTGAAATACAATTCTGCTTTGAAAAAACACTCTGAGATCGCCGAGATACATGTGAGTGGGATTATTAACCGATGAATTAATAATAAATTGGAAAGAAGTAATTTGATTGCATGCGCTTAACCGTCAACCTGTCTTTTTAGCCTAACGCCCTGTCCACACGTATCCGTATTCGTTTGAAAACGCAATGTTTTTTCTCCTTTTTCAGAAAAAATCGCGACCACTCGTACCGTTACCGCATCGTTTTCGCCCGCCCACACGTATACGATGACTTACCCGACTACGCATGCTTGACGCATACGTGTTCGCTATTATGAGCCCGCGAAATAATAAATTGGCGCCATCATTGAATTTCTTTGGTGTGGGTTTATATTCTTGTTGTGACGTTCTTCATTTGAAGTCAACAAAGTCAAACTAAAGGGAGATCCAGCCTTCCGTCTCTTGATACCGGTAGCGAAAGTAACCTGATAATCGGTTCTGCCGCCTCTTGGAATAATCAGCTTGAGGAATGAACAGAGCTAAATTTGCTTGAAAACTAGAAAAAAGCCGAAGCATAAAAGACAAGAAAGGGAAGCGCCCGTCCGCCATCTTGAGTAAGTTTTTAATATTGCGCCGAGTGATTGGAGCTGATAGTGCGTCTTCAGCGTTTTCGAAAAGTTCCGTTGTCGTCTTTCCACACGGGACGGGAAAACAGCGTTTTCAAAAAGTTCCACTCTGGAGAGTGTTTTCGAAAAATTCCCTTTTCATTGATCGTTTTCATCAGATACGTGTCGACGGAAGCCGTATCCGTAAGGAAAAAGTTACGTTTTCAAATGAAAACGGATACGTGTTGACAGGGCCTAAGACTAAATATAATGAATAAATAAGAGAAAGCAAAACAAAAAAGACAAAAAGCAGCAAAAAACAAGTATTATTTACAAGTGGTAAAGCAGCTAAGAAGAAATGTTTTCAATCTGGCCTTTTAATACGTTAACGCACCTTGAGCGTCGTCCTGATCAATTCCCTTTTCATCCGTTTCTTTAAGTTCCCTCATCTTCTTTTCAACAAAACTATGTCCGATTTCCAGTATTAAGTCAGCGTTCTTAAGAAACTTCTTAAAGACTGGTGTGTCTATGTATTGGTAGGCAATTCTGCTAAATATATTTGTGAATTCCAGTGCTACCTGAGGCGGAGGATCTTCATATAATCCCAGACGAGTATCAAATGCTAGTGTACCAACACCTGCAACAGTTTACAAAGATAAAAGTTTATAGAGTTCATACAGGGCTGGCTCAAGAAGGAAATGTGGCCCCTCTGTGTGGCACTCTAGCCTCACAGGGATGGAGAAGCCATTCACTATTTTAATTTGCGCCACGCGTATCGAATCCTGAAAAGACCTGACAAGCGTAACTAGGTGATTTCGTTATACAGCATTACAGCTCTGACTATAATTGAATCCTCCTCTTCCTCCCAACTCCGTCATCCCCATTCGGGGCTCTCGTTAGACAATTATTATTGAGAAGTAGATTTTAAAAGACAACATGTGATTGCCTGACAAAATAATAATAATCGGATTACGACGATAATAATTATAATGATAACGATAACGACAACGGAATGATAATGCTAATGCTAATGACAATTATAATAAATATTATCATTCGAAGCTAATTTTTCTTTCTTTTCATTGGCCGAGAGCCCACCACGTGATCTGCAAATAACTGCCTACAAATAATGGTCTGCTCATGCGCAATGCCGTCCAACAGTGTTTAGCTGCAAATGATATTCTGCTCATGCGTAAAGGAAACCGTGCTTTTCTCCTTCTTGCGATCGCTCTTGCGTGAAAATGGCAGATCTCTTTGCTTCCCAAGGATATTCATTAAAAAAACAAACTCGGTGATGGAATGATAAAACAATTATTGAACTCGGTTGTCGCAAAATATCGTGATTTGTCAGTGCCTCGCAGATCACCACAGACAAATCACAATATTTTGCTCAACCTCCTCCAATAATTGTTTTATATCGACAGCTCTTATACTGTTACATAACAGTTTTATCACGTAGTCACGATGCAAATGTCATCTACAGCTGTCATCGACTTCTCCAAAAACTAGTTTTATAAGCTTACCTTCTAAAGACCATCGATTTAGTTCCTTGTCCAAGTCAGGAATGTGATCATCTTGCTCACAAGCTTCCTTTAGTTCGACAAACCTTGCTACAGCATCCTTACTTACAGCATTAAAGTTTAGAATGTTTTCTTCCACAATCTTTGGGCGCATTAGTTTCGGAGCGATGGTTTTCCGCAATCTGTGCCATTCTTCTCCATCTCTGTCAGAAAAAAAAAATAAAATAAAGCAGAAAAATCCCAAGATCGAAAGATGGAAAGTTTTACAAAAAGAAGCCTAGTAACAATCTTAATAAGAAAATATCTTGAGAGTTAACTAATTACTTAGGAGTTAACACATGTTCTAAAGTCTTTCAGTCTTAGGAAATCAATAAATGAAAGTAAACGATCCCAGATGTATTTTCTAGATACAACCTTACGGCTCCTACGATTTCTAATTTCTTAATAGGCCCCTTTGAAGTTTGTTAGTCAGTCACCTAGTACAGTGCGTTTTTTTGCTCTCCGGAAAGGCGTTTTTGAGTTGCGTTTATCTCATCTGTCTGGCATTTGTTTTCTGTGTCTTCGCGGGGTGTTTTACACTGCCAACTTTTTTTTCCACCGTCTGTTCCAGATTAGTGCACATACAACTCGTGAGGCCAGCGAGTGTTGTAGCTGCTTTAACGATCGATCTCGCTTTCAATCTCCATGTCTCTCTGACGCCTCTACAGCCAGGGTGAACGCATTCATCAGGTCAAAGGAAGCAATGTATAGGGGCATACAGTTTTCTACACTTCACCTGAGGTTGGCGAAGGGACTATTCCAATTAGCTATAATAGTCGCTATACTGCCCATTTGTCTTCTGCACTAGTTTAAATCGTTAATAGCCCCAAGAGCATTTGTCAAGAATTTGTTAGGGTTTGAGTTCCCATGGTTGGGACTTTTATCATGAAAGGTCTGCCCGAGGTGAGACTTCCTTATTGTCGAATGTCAAATTTTCTTTTTCTTTTCTTCTATTTCTTTTTTAAGCAAAATATATGCCTTTTAATTTCCAAACACCTGCATTAATATGCACACTTGTGGCGTGGGCGTTTAAAAATTAAACCACAGCTTTTGTTTCGGCAAGGATAGCGTGATGAGCCAAAGCAAGGACCGGAAAAAAGTCTCAGTATTTATACATGTAATTGATGTATGTTTGCAATTGACTTCGTCGAGAGGTCTTCAAGAACTAAAAGGATGGAGTTTAAATGAGATCGACTTAAAAATTTACCTCCACACTTATAATGTAAAAAAAAACGAAAAGTAAGGAACAAAGAATCGGTTCTGCCTGAATGGTCCCGTTTATTTAAATGTTTGACTGACTACACATCAAAGATGATGATTCCGGCCAGAATTAGCGGGAAAAGGGTGCTAAACTCAAGAAGGGATCAGAAGTATTTCTTTGAGCTCATTTTTCATGTGGAGTCAACGCGCCGCTGCTGTTGAGCATTGTCGCTTTGGCTATTATTACTTGGCAGCCGGGAAGGATCTTACAAAAACTTATTAAGTTATATAATTCGAAGTTATAATATTACATGAGGCTAAGTGCCCGGCAGTCATGTTATGAAGCAAGAGTGTAGCGTGATTGTGATTTTGAGATGGCGTGATTTTAGTCCTTTTAGATTTTGTTATTAATAGTTTCACTCGTCTGTCAGACCGACAGAGAACTTGATGACGGATCGGATTAAAAACTAAAGCTTATAAATTCACAGAAGTCACTATTTTGTGTAGTGTGTGAGCGAGCCATTGTACTTTGAGGATTGAAGCTGTGAAATAAACCCTGTTTTTGCTTAAAACTGTGATATCGTGAAGAACGGCCCTTCGGCATTCACGACAGTCAGAAAATTTTCTAGAATTTCTGCAAAATCCCTTTTTCTAATCGTTTGAAAGTATTCTGTCTTTATTTAGAATAATCAAGCGATCAGGAAAACAAAACTGGCTTCGTAGCTGAGCGGTTGTGGTTTCTTGGGCAAAGAGTAGAGTCAAAGACTAGAAAAATTTCTTGAGTAGCAGTGCGTGACTCACACGCACGATTTCATCAGGCTATAAAGTACCCGCCAACCTGAAAGCGGAGCTGGAAAACTAAAAAGCCTTTCTCTAAGCTCCAGAATACACGCACACTAGCCTCGATTAGTTTCCCAAAACAATCGGAGAGAGAGTGCCTTGATTTTGAAACTTTACTTCGCAACCTCGATCGAGACGCCTTACTTGAACAGCTTGATATACGGGTGGTGCTGCTGAATCTTGGGAAAGCGTTCCTCTGATTCTCCTCAAAATATTCTGTCATGGTTTAGAATGGGCGAGTAACGAGAAAAAAAAAGTTTCTTAACCAGAGGTTAAGTATCACTCAGTTTTGAGTAGGCATAGTCTATGTGATGGTTGACCCAAAGGCACGGTTCCTCCTCCGATTTGTCTACGGAGTTTAAACATTAAGTGTCTCTTTAGCCCCCATTGAAAGTATTTCATCACCTTCAGAGAAGCCAAGCGGGTACGAAGGGTTAAATAAACGGCTAAACATACGGTGTAATGAAGCAGACAGGCGGGTATTTAGCTATATAGCTTGGATGAAAACGTGACTGTGAGTAACGCACTGCTTCACGAAGTTTTTCAGCGCCGACTCTACTCTACCCAAAAAACCACAACCGCTCATCTGCGAAGCCATTCTTGTTTTCCTGATCGCTTGGTAATTCTGAAAGAAGATAGAATACTTTCAAACGATTAGAATCAGGGATTTTGCAGAAATTGTAGAAAATTTTTCTGACTGCCGGGCATTTAGCCACATGTAATATTGTAAGTTTCAATTACACTTTTTTACGAGCAATCATTAGTCATTGGTTTAATACTTACGCTTGAATTATGCCTGGGAAATGATTCCTTCGTTTGCGGTGCTCGACCATAAAATCAAACATCAGCCTACGCGGATATTTTCCTTCAGCCCTAAAAACCGTCTCAAAATCGTCTGGCTCTTGAACGTGCACAGCCGCGATCGGCCAAAACATCAAATTTTCTTTGTAAATTGGACCAAGCTCGTGAAACAAGCGCTCAGTTATTTTGTAAGCTTTGGTAAAGCCCTCGGTCTTTGTACAAAGATCGTACATGAACTTGAAGCCATTAGGTTCTGGAATTACTCGGTAAGATCGTACTCCATCGAACCTTTCTGGGCTTTCTACTTGTTTCGGCTCTGATCTCTGTGACCTCCAGAACAGCGTTAACGGTTTACGATAAGGTTTTGTAAAATCGAGGATATTCCTGCGAAAAGCGATGCTTGGGGACAACATTTAGTTTAGAATTTAGTGAGATGTCGCAGGTTTATGAGAACTTCGGAGAAGACTTATCGGAATGAATGCCAAGAAGGTCATGTTGAGCCTGCAAAAACCTTGCGTGCGGTCAATTCTATTGACTTGGGTAGGTCATATATGAAGTACCTATCTGGTTTTGTGTCATAAAAAAAAAGAGAAAATTATAACGTCACAAGAGAGTTGACAAGATTTCTTTGCATTTCTTTGTACTTGCTTAAGTAACAAACAAAGCTAGGGCTAAAAGCGAAGCTCCCATTAATAAATTTATTATTTAAATCAGACAATAAACTTGTAATCCACAAATCATGAACTCGCCTGTCAAATTTTGACCAATCAGAGCTTAAAAATTAGACGTAGAGCGTGACCAACGCGTAACCATGGTGAGAAAAGTCAAAAGCAACTATCTGCTGGCTGAATTTTCGCTTCCGAGCTCCTTCCCAGGCCAGTTTGAAATCAAAATTTTAATAGTGCGGCACATAAAAACAACTTATTTAAATAAATCTAATTTTGAACCTGCGATCATTTGAAAACAAGCAACTTGTCAGCGGATAACTTCAAAAAAACTCGACCTCGATGGGTCGATATCTGAGCCCGCGATACGGTCAGGTGATACTGGTCGGCGGATACCCTGTTTTGACAGCTTTCAAGTGATAACGACATTAATGTGCAGTATGAGGAAATATGAGAGCAGTATCAGGTTGCTCCTAGGCTCCCAAACTAGTTATTAAGTGTGAGATTAAACATTGGCTCCCAGTGGTGCGGACAGACGGTCGCTCGGTGTACGGTCATGTGATTACCACATTTTCGCAGTAGATTATCTTTAGCTATGGGCTCTCGCGCGCTTCACGCGCGGGTGGAGTCTCGCTAAAATATTTTTACTACAATTATGGAATATTGTACTAAGGTGAATATCACCTTTTTAACAAGGTCGACTAACAAGACCGATCTCACATCAGTAAAGGTTAAAAACACCAAGGAGCTGCCATCTTTAATTCCTTGGGAATGAGGTTAATTCATATCATGAAACTTTTATTGTAAGATGTACCTAGACAAGATTTATCATGGAACTCTTTTTCTTTACGTGTGATGTGTAACTTTTTGGGTTCTGCAATTCTGTTTTCTGTTTTTTGATTCTGGTTTTAATTCGTTCAGAATCCTTACAGACCTGGGCCATGAACAAGTCTTCTTTAATACTCCTGCGCCATATACTTGAGCAATGCACCAGTTCACCGTGTTTCGAGGACTACAAGCAGATGTATCTGCTAACTCGTTGTCAATAATGTCAATAAATGCCAAATTATTGTGTTCGCGGTCGTTGGCATTGGTCTGTGTAAAGATTAACTTAAGATACCTTGGAAGATGAGGAGAATTAAGATTAAACCACAAATGTTAAAGAGGCTTTTTATATTACTATAAACCGCAGCTCAGGCCGGCAGCTAAAGTCCGATGCTTAAAATACTACTCGTAGTATTTGACACTATAGCTGCCCCGCTCTATATGTTGTCGGTCAGTTGTAATAAGTATATAATAAGTGAAATAAAAACAGGAAAGGCAAGGTTCCATGCACTGATTCGGTTGGATTTTTACATCTTTGATCAAAACATTCTCAGTTTCGAGAATATTTTATTCTTTATACTACTACATGAGAAATTACTGCAATTTGATTGGCTTAGAGCAGTGGTATTTCAGCTTAATTTGAAATACCTACATGTGAAAATTACAAACTTTTTGTGGGTAGTAGTATAAACAAATAATAGCATGATTTGTACGTGATATTTGGCATAAATACCACTCGTGATATTTCAAAATTGTCTCAAATTTCCCTCGGCTAACGGCTCGTGAAATTACGAATAACAATTTTGAAATATCACTCGTCGTATTTATACCAAATATCACTACAAATCATGCTATTACCTATACAAACCTTAAGAAAAGATCTGATTAGAAGTTGGATTTTTTTGTTATTTCTCTTTCACTTTTTACATACAGTTCATTAGCCGGAAAGTAAGTCTTCAAAATTAAAAGGTTTGATCACTTCACGCTTGCGCGTTCTAGTCAATTTTTTAACTATATAGACACTAATTTACAAAAAACTTTATAAAAGGACATCTGTGAGCAGGGAACGCGTCAGCACAGAATATAATTGTTGGCAAATTACAGTAATCGTCCTCATTTTTTTTTTTTTCTTTCCGGGTACATGTGAAAGACACGATGAGGTAATGGGACGTAATGACGACGGCATGCTTTTGCATTTTTATGGGCGGAATCCACGTGCATCTCATCATTCTTCCCTCTAAAAAGAGATATAAAACAAAAACACTAACTAGGGATGTGTCTGATAAACTCATGAGTTTGGATATCACACTGATAAATTTTGATAATAACAGTGACGTCACTGACGTCAGTCGTTTACAATGTAGGAAGGAACTTGAATCATCCGCCATTTTGAATTAATTAAATAAATTTATCCTGCTTACAAATGGAATAGCTAGACGTAAAACGTTTTTTTTCTTTTTGTTTTTACGTGAATATATTATGGAAAACATGCCAGCCAATTTCGGTTGCCAGGATAAGGTCAATATTTGATGTACACATCACAAAGACTTAAAAAATATTTCTAAATAAAAGTCGCTAGGTTTGGCGGCCATAATGGTTTGAGGCACCAAGAGCATAGGCGAACTTTAGCGGTGTAAAAGTTGTTTAAATTTAAGCCGAGGGGGCCTCAAAAACCTTTTCCGGTCTGAATCATATTCTAAAAAAGGGTGTTGTAAGAAGCTGTAGAACCTTTCCCTTGTAACTTTCTCAAAAACGTTCGATAAACTTGATTTTGACCGGTTTGTCGGGAACAGTAAGCATCTTTTGACGTATTTCTAATGGCTATACTCGAAGCGAAATCTCTGAAGTAACTTCAATAAAGAGAGATAAAAAGTAAGAAAAGAGGAAAGGGGGAAGAGGGGAGGCGAACTAAGAGGGAGGAGGAGGAGGATGGTGGTAGAGGAAGAGATGGAGGAGAAGGAGGACGAGGACGAGGAGGACTGTGAAGGGGAGGAGGAGGCGGAGGGAGAGTAGGATGATTGAAAGGGGAAAGCAAAACATGCAAAAGGTGGGTAACAGTCTCATTTTCTGAAGAGAGGTGCAACGTTTCCAGATATAACAGTACTGACCCTGCACATTAGCACCTACATCCCTAACTCAGCCACACGACGACCTACAAGAAAAGTGCAGATCATGCTTTAATACCGCAGTCTCAGCATCCTGTATGGCTGAAAGCAAGCCCCCTCCCCCGACCTAACAACAACAACAACAAAATCAAAACCATAATCTTACCAAAGGACATTGATTCAACTAGCTAACTAAGGGGCGGATCCAGGATTTTTTTAGGAGGGGGTGCACTCGTCTCTTGCTCTACTTCAACACCAATAAACCACTTTTTTTTTTTTCTGCAGAATACCAGTTGTATTAAAAAACCGCACGTCATCTCAGGGGAGGGGGGGGTGCGCACCCCCTGCACCCTCCCCCTAGATCCGCCCCTGTAACTGCTTAATTTTTCTGCAATGGTGTGGACAAATTGGGACAAAGTTTCATTTGTGGTGCTCTTTTTTTTTAAACCATACATCCCCATTGCCTGCCACCAGCCCTCATACATCTCCACAATTTTCCCGGGTTTCAAGTTGTAAAAAAAAGATCGATCTGCTTTATGAAGACATCTTGAAATTACAATAATTTGACCAGTATTGCATCACTTTTCCAAGGACTTTTGTCCACCATTCTCTAGATCCGCCTTTAAAATGAAATTCAAAGGCGCCATATCATACATGTTTTTAAAACTTTTGCATTATTTTCAGCATTATTCCAATGTCCCTAATTTGATTAGCTGTGATAATGTGACTAAGTGATTAGTGTGTAGTTGACAAATCGAACACAATGGTCTACACTCATAGAAATGACGTCATGAAATGTTCAAAACTCAAGTGGAACTAGCACTCGCCCGCGGCTCGTGGTTTCACTGCAAAGTTTTCAACATTTTATGGCGTCATTTCTCGTGTCTATTTAAGGAATAGACCGCACGTTCTATTGGTTTACCGGCGTGATAACCCACGCGGGATGTTGGGAAAACACAAGAAAAGGTTGTAAATCACGAGCCCAAAAACGTCTCGGGAAACATCAGGACTCTCGGGAAAACAAAACTGACTGTCTCCCTTGAGATCTGACATCAGGTGTATAGTGTACCACTCTGTTCCAAAACCGCCTATCTTCCCCAGGCATATCTCGGGCATTTGACTGGAGTTTAGCTCCGTACAGTGGGGATTTTGACCTAAAATGAGGCCCGCCCCGTCGGGCATTTGACTTTCGTGTCAAAACGTTGGTGAACGGTCGCAAGCAAAAGGATTTCGTAATTCTTTCATTCAGTATTTGTACAAAAAAACAGAACATGTCTAGACCAAAAATGGAAGAAAAAACATTAAAACTAGCTGTTTCCCTCAGGATCTGACATTAAGAAAGTAAGTAAGTAAGAGACTTTATTTTATGAGGGTGACACGTAACAGTAACTAAACATTACTGATCAACTTGTGGCCCTCTAAAAATATAAAAATACAATTTATAAAAACTACTTTAGCTATAAATTATTAAGTGTATATTATTACATAGTATATCCTGAGACTTAAAATGAGAATATTTGTGTGAGTGCCTCATGAGGACATGAGTCACTGTATCGATCAAAGTTTGACTAGATCACCCTCTCAGTTACCGAACTAACATTCATCGAATTACGTCTCTTCTTACCAACACACATACGTTGCCCAAATCCAAATCTCACTAAATTATCCCTGTAGGATGTTTTCAGATAATCCCATCCGGGCAATCGAGCCAGAAGCATTCAACATTAGCTTCCCTGATGATAAACCAATGGCAATGTAAGATATCCGCTACTGATTGCGCGGACTATGGAAACCTAAACATGTTACCTGGTCGTTAGACGAAGCATGAATACCGTTTTTCGTATCAACATCATTATATGTTTTTTCTTACCAGATATTTGCTTCGCACGAAGATAAAAACAGTGAGCTTAGATTCTTTCGTCGGTCTCAGTGGACTCGATTCCATACTGTAACGTACTTTTTTAAGTACTTAATATACGATGATGCATTGTCGAACTACCAGAAAATTACTGTTATTTTTTAAAGAAAATAGAAGAAAATAAATGACAACTATTGTCATCACAATTACAATTGACGGTGGTCAAAAACGACTGCGTGAAAATACTGGCATTCTTACCTACATTGGTCTACTGATTTCCCTGATTTCCCCCTAGTCTGCACTTCTTTGCCTTATATTTGCCCCCAGCAAATTTGATCTGAATCTATGTCATATCAATTGCAGAAACATATTTTCTGGTTTACACTTTTGAATGTTATTGCTATCTTGGGTAAAAGCGAAGAGTATATACCTTCCTTTCTATGGTTGCTTTAAACTGGGGGACGAACAATAGCTAAAAATTAAACGGTCGTTTTTACTAAAATTTTATATTTTCAAGATCTTAAAATTTACCTTACCCCTTTTTTTTCATCTCCCTTATTTCAGGCATCAATTTATTTCATTTCTGATCTTTTCAGATTAATGGATAATAGAATACTTCGAACTCTGAAATATTCAGTTAACAACGAGATTCGCTGCACAATTTATCTGTCAGTATAACAAACACTTATAAGCAAATGTTGTTAAGCTTAAGGACATTTGAAAATGGCCAAAGCAAGACTCTCCTTCACGCTTGTGTGTAGTAAGTCATTTAGATGAAACTGCTCACGATGGGCACAAATGACGCCAAAGCTAAATAATCCTTGTATTTTAAAATTATTTTATCGTGTCATGCTCTTTAAAAATTATTTATTTGATGTATCATAAGTTAAAATTGAAATTTTGCTGTCAAACTTGTGACGTCATTTTTCCCCCAAAAACCATTAAAACTGAAAATAAAAAGCATACCATAGTTTTGAAGACAAATTTCTTTCATCTAGCATAGTGTTGAACATAAGGATTCGCAACTTTTGCTGTCTTGATTTTTTCTTTTCTTGTCTTGTAACATTCTTTTTAGAAATCCATACTTGTCTGAAACAGAGTCTGTCGCTGTGCCTCTTCCCAAATCTCAAAATGGAAAAGTCTGGATTTCTGCTCTAGAGGCATCGGGATTCACACGAACACCAGAACAAAATGATGACTTTTGGTTTTTCCTTCCGTGCCCGGTGGGAACATTTTCCAACTCTTCTTCTCAAGGTTCGGAAGGATGCATATCATGCCCTCCAGGTATTGTATAGTTTTACATTATTATTGTTCCTCCGCGCATGAGCGTTTTCATCTGGATAAGAAGTCTTTTGATCGCCAAAAAAAAGAGCCTTCTCCAACCACATTGTTTTAGTTTTTTAAGCCCCTCTTTTGTGTTGCATTGGTCCTCCTGGCATAACGACTTGATGATTCTTGAGCCACTCATACTGTGTCCTTTGCTGTTTAGGAGGGTTTTACTGTGACGATGTAGGCTATGTGGGAACGACTGGTAAGAAATGCCCAAATGGTTCCTTCGTAGCGTATGATAAAGCACCTGGGACACAAGTGCAAGATTGTAAGACCTGTCCTTTAGGTAAATAACAATTAATATAACTGAATGAGCAATATTTGCTCATAGTTTCTTTTCTTTTCTTCGTTGACCATTTGGAGTGAACAAGTTATTGTTATTTACTCGCTCAGAAAAAAAAAAGCAAACACCATCGCGAAAAAAGTTGGGTATCAGGTGTTTTGGTAAGGACATACTGGTCATTTAAGAAGCTAGTATCGAACCCTCAAAAACATCTTTCTTCCAACCTTCAGAATTCAGATTCGTTGAAATTTGTTAAATTTAGCTTCGTTTTTCAGACCTCATCACAGTGTCTGGCTTATTCGTATATCATAATTTAGTTCGGACTCGATGAAATTTCAATGTACTAGTTTTATAGTTTGTTTTTTTTTTGGTTGATTGTCTCTTACTCAAAATCTTGAATGTTTCTTAATCATTCATAGGTACAGACAGTGATCTGTTTGCTGGACTGCGTGCTTGTTCATGCTTGAAAGGTTATTATCGGACTGATATGTTTGGCAAATGTCAAAAATGTGGAAATGGTCTTGAATGCCAGAATGAGTTTGCCACTTTAAAATCTGGTTACTGGTGGAAATGGAGAAACAATACTCACAAAGATAAGTACCAAAGTTTTATAGACAATCTCTTGTCATCTTCGCCGGCCTTGGACAAAGAGAAGGTGCAATATTCATTTCCTTTGCCAACTCCATACAAGTGCCCAAGGGAAAAGTCTTGTAAAGGTGGCATGGATTCCACTTGCGAAGATGGATACAAAGGCCCACTTTGTAGTGTATGTACAAAAGGACACTATAAGAAGTTACACCAGTGTCAAGAATGTCCATCTAAGAAGTTGATAGCAGCACAGCTGTTTGTCATTACTGCTATTTTGTTGATAATCATCGCAGCTTGTGTTTGGAAAGCCAAAAGGAATGGCCAGGAGAGCGAAGTAAAAACCTCCCTCATAGATATGTTCTTATCCAAAATTAAGATCGTAATTGGGTTTTATCAAGTCACCTACGGTTTGCATGAAGCTTTTTCATACATCGAATGGCCAGAGTCCATACGGGTCATCAGCAAGTATTCAGAAATACTTCAGTTCAATATACTTGAGATGGCACCAGTTCACTGTGTTATCACCGGACTGCGGGCAGATGCATTCGCTAATTTGTTGTCAGTAATGTTAATAAATGCTACAGTTACTGTGTTCGCGGGCGTCGCCATCAGCGTGTGTAAAGTGATCAGTTTGAGTAAAAGCATCTTGGAAGACGAGCAGAAGTCAAAGAAAATCTCGAATCTCAAAGAAGCATTTTATAAGAATTTGTTTTTCTTTTTGTACGTAACTTACCTCAGCACGTGCTCTAAGACAGCAACTGTCTTGCCGATTGCCTGCCAAGAACTTTGTGAAGACGAAAAAGAAGGGTTTTGCCTGAAGTACTTGAAAGCAGATTATAGCATACAGTGTTTTGATAACCGGTACAACAAATTGATAATAATTGCCTATATTTCTGTCGCCTACATTTTTGCCCTTCCCACAACCGCATTCATCTTTCTCTGGAGAAAACGAAGAGCAAAACAATCGTTAACATATGTTGATCAAGGATTAAGCGACGAAATGATGAGGGGAATGCAATTTCTTTACGAAAACTACAATGGTGCATCTTGGTATTGGGAAATAATAGAAATGTCTCGTAAAGTAATCGTCACATCTGGCCTGATCCTCGTGGGACAAGAAAGCAGGTCCTACATTGGCCTGGCATGGGTCATTGCTGGTATGTACGGAATCATGTTTGCCTGGAATCGCCCTATACAAGACGCATTTGATAACCTATTGATGACAGCATCCGTTGGTGTTACTGTTTTCAATTTGGGTGTTGGGAGTATCAGCAAAATTCCCGCAGAGAACCTGCCTGCAGCGGCGGAATCGTACGTGGAAACCGTTATGTTCAATATATTGGTTCTGGCAGCGAACACGTTGGTGATTGGGCTGCTAGCTTGTAAGAAAATTATGTTGTTGAAAAGAACTTTGACCTAGCTAGAGCTCTTGAGACCAATTCCATTCAAAATATAGCGACCACAACCTATCTTAATTTGTTTTAAATACATCCAAAACGCATGCTACCCTAGGACTAAATGTCGTTGAACAGTTGCAGCTACTTCGACGGCATCCAAAGAAATATCTGTGCCTGTGACGACTTAGTCAAGGGGGAAACTAGAATAAGAATATAGTTACTTATTATGCTCTTCTTTTCTCAGTTCAGTACATATGGCATCTTTATGAGTATATTATGGAATGGCGAAAAAACCCACAGTGGTCGTTTTCATGCTGCTTGGCCCTGATTGTTCCTCTTGTCGGTTTGCCAGGAGATATAAGTGGTTTTGAAAGCTCAAATGCAATAGATAACCAGCTAGAAATCGGAGAAATGGAAATTTCTACTACATCTGACGCCGACCAAGATGACACTCTTGGGGAAAGGAAACAAAATAATGGTGACCTGAAGGAGGCCCAAGGTGACGGCAGCACTTTGAGCGTCCGGTCCCGAGCTGAGGATAAAAGAACGTCCGCCGCAGATCAAGGAAGTGGAGCCATTAATGTCCGGGTGGGCGAGAACAAACAAGGTGGTGATAACAATGGAAATAATGGCTACCATGTGGTGGATAAACTTAACGATGAAAAAGAAGGGAAAAGCCCCATTGCCACTTCTCTGAGATGTAGGTCCAACAAATGCCATCAAGGGACACAGACGGTGTTTGCGCGACTGTGGAGCATAAGCCAGTAAAGGGTACTTGGAATTAGTAGTCTGTAAGTGCAGGACATTTGACATTTTCCTTCGCCTGTTATTGCGAAAGCGCTGTAAAATTTCCACAGGAAATAAGTGTAAATAAAATTCGTTCATTGGTATTATAATTTTTTATGCTGGCTTTTTTGCTCTAGCTGATCAAAATTACTAACAAATGATTAATCGATATCACTCGTGTTGCTAGAAGTTACTGGAAACTGCCCTTAACACGTTTCTCCATGTGCAATAATATATGCCTGATAGCAAAACATAGAAGCCGACTTGACATTCAAGAACGGTCGACAAACTTAATCTTAACCGGTTTGTCTGGGACGGAGAAAAACTTTTGACGCAATTCTACTGGCTCATGGTGATACTCGAAGCGAAATCTCTGTAGTAACTGCAAAAAAGAGAAATAAACAGTGAGAAAAGCCAAAGAGGACTGGACGAAGAAGGAGGGGGAGGAGAAGAAGGAAGATTAATTGTTTTAAGTTGTTTTTGTTGCTGTTATTGATTACATCTTATACATTTCTTTGTTTATATGTGTATTTGACGTAAACAAAACTTTACAGAACGGTCTCCCTGTTTGCGTTAGGAGGTGATTGTTAACATTTAAAAAGGGTTTCGTTCCTGTGATTGAAGGGCTACTTTAAGTTGAAGATTTCACCACTAACTGATTGTCGAGTAATTTATTTTGCACTTGTAGTAGTAGAAGTCAACTGAAAATTCAATTAATACTGCAAAAAAGGTTACTACACAAGTCAATTTCGGTTGAAGCGATGACGGGCAAATAGACTTACAATTTGTATTCCATATGCGGCTAATAAACTTCGACGTGTGACCGGTGGTGACACTTTGCAAATGTATAAGTTGCGTAACGAACTTCTTACTTTGAATAACTAGTCGCCTGATCTATTTTTCCCGCGTCGCGCTAAGTCGAGGTGTCAGAGCTAGGATGAGTAAATATTAAAAAAAAAAAAAACTAAGCAAACGGCTTGAAAAAAATGCAAATCAAAAAGTACTAACCTTACACATTAGGACGTACATCTCCAACTCAGCCACGCGACGACCTAAGGGAAATGTGAGCCACGCTTTAATAGTGAAGTCACGGCTTACTGCATGGGCGAAAGCAACCCAGAGTAAAAAAACACAACAACAACAACACAATCACACTGTTAACTAGAAAGGAAACCACAAGGCAGGGATTATTTACGATGATGCGTAGAAACGATTACTGCCTAGCAAACGCCGCAGACACAATGGGCAGATGGATAGTTTTCCAAGACTGGTTTTTACTCATCTTTATCATTAATATAGAAAAAGATCTCTAAAACCAAAATGATCTCATGTTATTTTCGTGCGTGTATTGATCGTAGTTGTAATAATTCCGTCTGAGTACCGTAATGGGACAAGACTCAGTGATCAGTCAAGCCTGCAATCGGCGATAAAATTGTTGAGACACTGTCATTAAAATAAAGTACTTCGAAGATCAAAACAATCCGCACCCCTTTCTGCTTCCCCCTTCCCCCATTCAAAGTTTGGGTGTTTATTGTTTCTCTCAAACAGCGGCGGCATAACATTACTTAAGGGGGGAGGGGAAAGCTACATTTGTCGCAGTTTTGAAGTCGGCAAAAGGCCAGAAAGGCCCTTTAGGACAAAGTGTCCTTACTAAATTTGTCACCGATTAAAGATTCATATCAGCTCTCTTTTCAGAACTTAAGATAATTATATTAATCTCTCACTTACAACTAGAACATATAGAACATATTAGAAAATATATCGAATATTAGGGACTTTAAGATCCAACGACGCGGACGGTAACGAGAACATCAAAAAAACAATAGGTTTGATTAGCAAAACAACTACTTTGCACGTGCACCATGCTCTTTTGTACATTTCTTTGCCCGTTTTTGCAAGACTACGACGTGAACATGCCTAATTTCGCGTTTTACCGAGGACGTAAACAAGCAACGACGAAATTTTATTTCTCTTACTGTACTTGGATATGGTGCCTAGGAATTCAACTCCAGGAGGGTTCGCCTACATTTGACAAAGTGAGTGTGTAGGAATAATTGCGATATAGACTGAAAGAACGCAAATTCACTTTTTAAGCGACGTTCTCATTACCGTTGCGTCGTTGGATCTTAAAGCCCCTACTATCTCTTCTTACCAACACACATACGAGGCCCAAATCCAAACTGTAGATGAGAAAAGGGGTGAACCTCTTTACTTTCTCTTAGCCAGCGCTCTGGTTTGAACTCCAAAGGGTCTCTAAAGTACTTTTCTGAGCGTGTCGTGGCATATAAATCCATAAATACGAGAGTCTGGAAAAAAATTTATGCTAATGAAAAATTGAAAATTTTTTACCATGAGTATTTCTTATCCTGCACATTAGTGGGTTGGTGGTGCGAGGAACGCATGTGCAACCCTGAAACACACTTCGACGCCTGCTTCGATGGTAGACAAAAGCATTAGTCAAGAACAAATGAGCGTAATCACACTTTTGAATCTGTAAGGGCCAAGTACTAAGACTCACTTGAGCTGGAACAAGGTATCCCGATAAAACAACCTCCTCTTCCAAAATCCTTGCAATCACTGTAGTACTTGGAGTAAGTCTAAAATAATAACAATAATAATAGAAGTTATAATAATAATAATTAATATGTCAAAATACTTTATTAAAATCTTATAAAAAGCTGCACACAAAACTTCAGTAAAATACTCATAAAAAGAAAACGTCAATATCAATACAAAATTCCGGCAAAACCTCTTCGTAATTCAAGAAATAACATTGAGTTAAAAAAATCAAGTCAAAAGTAACAGCGGATGACATAAACGTCAATGCGCTGATTCTAATACTACGGATAAGTTTCTGATCCATGAGACAAGATATAAATCTACTGCGGTTCACTTTCCGTACCAATTTCCCGATAAGAAGGCGTAACTTAACATTAAGAGATCAATAAAAAAACATTTTAAAAGTAAGGAAACACATCAATAGTCCTATCGGATGGCTCCTTCATCAACATTCCCAATGTCACATGGCATTCTTCTTGCCCTAGAGCCTTCAAGAAAAACCAACGCAGGTCTCAAGAGTGCCCATGAGGTTCTGGTTCTGATCCATGAGATGGTTTTGGTATACTTCTCCCCTTTTTTGATGGCAATCAGCTGTGTTAAACGGCTATGATACATCAAGCACTCCTTCCCCATTCCGCCAGTTGTGGTGAAGACCAAAATATTCCATGCTCGATGTCAAGAACTCTCTTTGAGTAGAGACGCTTTTTCTCTCGTTCTCATGGATACGATAAATTTGTTGTGGCTCTAGGTACCTATACGATACAGCATTAGGGTGACAGATCCTCAAATGGACGAATGCCGATCGAAGGCGCTCCCAGAACTCACGTGCGTGGATATCTACCCTTGCATCCTGCGCTTTATTAGATCCCCTGTTTAAATGTTCGCCGGAGCTGTCTTGGAGGACTGCCTCGATCTCGACATCGCTGCACACCATACTCAGAAATTCAGCTTCAAGATCTCTTAGCTCGTTGTGGCGTTGAGTAAATAAAGCCTCCTAATTTTGCAAATCATAGAGTCATCAACCGTAAAGGCTTCCCCACAAGCGCATGTGGAGGGGATATCTTCCACTGGCCAGTCGTAGCGTAGTTTCACAGCATTACAGATCTCCCTCTTATTCGGGTTAAAGCCCAAATCCTGAAGAGGAAGCACTGTAAGCCATGCTGATGATCCCTTTTCTGTGGCTAGATCTAGATCTTTCTTGGTGCCATCTCCTAAATACGCTCTGCCCTATGTTCGAGTTCCTTTAATCTTTCACTTCTTACTTCCTGTTGTGCTAATTTTTTGAGGGAATCCTCTGGTAACTGATGTGACTGAGATACAATTTGTTCAACAAGGGGCTTTGTTATTTTGACAGACGAAGCATATTCGCGCTTTGCTTTAAGGGACGGGTTTCCCAGGCCCAGGCCACCCAAGCGAACTGGCAGCGCTAGAATATTCCTATCCAGCTGATTACACTTTCGCTCAGTAATCGCAGGAATGAGCATATGAGGTATTGCATTCTGTAATGGCTCTAATAGATCTTGAATGTCCGGCAAAGTTCTTGAAAAGTACGTCCACCGATGTTTCAAGCCAAAGGTGTAGGCCTTGTAGGCTGCGTAGCATGCTTGTGGTTGAGGTAGAGCAAATTCAGCTAACTTAGCTATGTCATTGATCCAATTGGTCACCTTTTCGCTGACATATTCCTGTAAATACTTTCTTGAACCTATTGCCACCACAAGGTGTCCCTGCCCTTGTACTGTTACATTAATGGACGTGTCCTTGAATGCTTCCCTCACACTTTCTTCCTTAGCTGGTTTTGCGATGATCCAGCATTTCCTGTCGTTCGGAAAATAACCGAAATCGGGACCAAGGGTGCTAAGAACATCCCAGAACTTCCTAATTTCCGTAATGGAGCCAGCTCTACCAGCATCATCTGAAAACCAAAACTGCTTCACACTGGACGCTGCTTGTAGACTCGTAAGGGATTATTCTACAATAGTAGATTCGCCTTCGGCAAATAATTGTTAATTAAACTACTGAACAATCAATTTCCCTTAAAAAAAGTACATAGTATGGTTATGTATTTGGGTGAATATTGCACGCGAGCAAGGTAGTCTTCAAAAAAAATAAAGCCTGTTCACCTTTTCCGTAGACGCGTGCGATCAACTCGTAAGTAAAACTTTACTTAATCAAACCTGTCTATTATACTTAGTGAGGAATATGCAATTGCAAAATTAATCTTCTCTAATTTAACCTCATGGACTCCTTAAGGCACGCCTTGAGATAGCGTAGTTTGGCGAGATGCTGAGGTGTGACGTCATCATCTTTCCCCAAAACACTTTCTATCTCTTGATAGAGCTTTTCTTGGACCTCAGGAAATCGTGCTAAGTTATACAGCCACCAGAGGGTAGAAGATGACGTCTGCATAGAAAGAAGACGAAAAATTGTTTATTATTATTATTTTTTCATTAACCGCACTAAATAGCAGTCTACTTGAGTTCGAATTTTGTTGCTCATTATGTAAATGTAAAAAAAATAAATGCATAAATAAATAAACCAGTAGCAACCAAAGGTTACGGAATGCGGGCGACAACGGTCGAAGGTCAAACCGCTTTTGCTCCAGCGGCTTGCTTTGCGTACGTTTTACGTGACAGATGGTCAAAATACGCGTGATCAGATAACGAGAGATAGAAAGTCCAAACGCGCGTGCGTTCTATGCATTTTATACATTCTTAGTGGAAGTCCAAACGAATGCTTGCTACATACATGCATGCAACGCATGGGTAATAACAACCTGAGATTAGGATTGCGGGCTCCTCTTCTCGCCCGCAATAAATGAAAATAAAAAATGAAAAGCTTTTTGTAACTGTCAAAAAAGTCTACCCAAAAATAGTATGTCTAAAAATAACGTGATATGCGTCACTGGGGAACTGCGACCTCATTCAATATGGCCGTTTTCTTGAATTTATTAACATACGGGTTTCTTGAAACAGATCAGAAACTGAAAATGTTCGTGCTTGTTGTCTTTGATTTGCTAAAACGAAAGTTTTTTTTTGTTACTTTTGATTTTTTTATATCTTCTTTAGACCAAATTTACATTTAGAAGTGTACGAAAAACTAGTAATATCTCCAGAAATGTTTATTATGATTAATAATATTATTATTACCATAATTCCTATTATTATTTTTATGATTATTAATATTAGCTTTTTTGTCATAGTCTTTGCTATTGTTCTTTTTGTACGTCAGCGGGGCGCAAACCATGCACCTGGAGCATCAGTCACTCAAGTCAATCAGTCTGTTCACACACTATAAGCACCTTCCTGAGGATTCGTGCAGATCCCAGCATGTAGGTCTTATGGGTCTCTTTCACAGCAGCTCTCCCTGATACTTTCTTGATGTTTTTAACCATCTGCCACAATATCTAAGTTTCCAGTCCTAGGTCTTTGTACTTGCTTTTCTTTTCGATTTCCTTCAGTGCATGGAATGTTATTATCTTTGTCATTACCATTATCATCAGTATTATTACAATTATTAATCTTACCGTATCAACGCCAGCACCGACGACATCAATTGCGTGTCCACTGACCTCCTCTAACGTAAGATCTTCCTTCATGAGTAAATATGTCAACAGTGGAACAACTAAATCAAAGAAGCAAATTTAACCAACATTGTTGGCAGCTGTTGTACACCAGGAAGAAATTTTGCATAGTTAATTTATCCCACGCCACTCTCCTTGACGATAAAAATTTCTCACGATAACTCGACAGAAAAAAAAACATCTCTCTTAATACTTAATGCTATGTCCAAATGATCCACAGTTTGTCAACGAATAAAGTTCGTTTTCTCTTCTGCCAACTTCATTTCATTCTGTATAAAATGGTAAGACAGACGGTCGAATGTTTCTGTGCTTAGATAAGTTTCAGTTTATTTATTTTCCAGAAAAAATATACATATACATACAGAAATACATTAAATATATTACAAAAATGTTAGTTAAAGTACATTAAAAAGACGTAAATTGGGGCTTATTATATGAGCTCCCCATTTAAGGGACAGGTTCACGGTTCAGCGCATGCTCATTTATCAAAATGCTGTTTTTCTGCCGGGCCACTGCTGTATCGTCTATGCAAGCAATATGATCATGTCATAATGTTGTCAAAGAACCAATCTGTACACTCCCCTGGCAGTCACTTGATCAACTTAAATATTTGCAAATAGCTGTAAATTAATCAACCATGGAATAAAACCTTCGGGTCAACAATAAATTCAATGTTCGTAGTGTTGGCAGAATCCACTAATTTTTTCTGCGATTTCAGTACTCCTCCATCTTACTTCAAGTTACTCTGAAATACAATTCTGCTTTGAAATACACTCTGAGATCGCCGAGATACATGTGAGTGGGATTATTAACCGATAGAATTAATAATAAATTGGAAAGAAGTAATTTGATTGCATGCGCTTAACCGTCAACCTGTCCCTTTAGCCTAAGGCCCTGTCCACACGTATCCGTATTCGTTTGAAAACGCAACTTTTTTCTCCTTTTTCAGAAAAAAATCGCGTCCACTCGTACCGTTTACGCATCCTTTTCGCCCGCTCACACGTATACGATGACTTACCCGACTGCGCATGCTTGACGCTTACGTGTTCGCTATTATGAGCCCGCGAAATAATAAATTGGCGCCATCTTTGAATTTCTTTGGTGTGGGTTTATATTCTTGTTGTGACGTTCTTCAAAGTCAACAAAGTCAAACTAAAGGGAGATCAAGCCTTCTGCCTCTTGACACGGGTGGCAAAAGTAACCTGATAATCGGTTCTGCCGCCTCCTGGAATAATCAGCTGAGGAATTAACAAAGCTAAATTTGCATGAAAACGAGCAATTAGGTTAGAAATAAGCCGAAGCACAAAAGACAACAAAATAAAGGGAAGCGCCCGTTCGCCATCTTGAGTAAGTTTTTAATATTGCGCGGAGTAGATTGGAACTGATAGTGCGTCTTCAGCGTTTTCGAAAAGTTCCGTTTTCGTCTGTCCACACGTACACGGGAAAACAGCGTTTTCAAAAAGTTCCACTCTGGAGAGTGTTTTCGAAAAATTCCCTTTTCATTGATCGTTTTCATCGGATACGTGTCGACGGAAGCCGTATCCGTAAAGAAAAAGTTACGTTTTCAAATGAAAACGGATACGAGTTGACAGGGCCTCAGACTAAATATAACGAATAAATAATTAAGAGAAAGAGAAAGCAAAACAAAAAAGACAGAAAGCAGCAAAAAACAAGTATTATTTACAAGTGGTAAAGCAGCCAAGAAGAAATGTTTTCAATCTGGCCTTATTTAACAATTAATGAATGAGGCTGAGTATCTTATGAAGAATTATGGAGATCGAGGAGTGTACGTGTTATCCGTCGAGGCCGTAGGCTGAGAGGGATAACACCCTCCGAGATCTCCATAATTCTTCATATGATAAGAAAGCCGAATTCAATAATTGTTTTATTATTCATTCAAAATAATTCCTACTTTAAAAATATAGCTAAAACAAGCTAACCTACATCGATGTTAAGTTTATCTGCGATAGTTTACGTTTAGGTTTGTCCGGCTCCGCAAATATTCTTCAAACAGCAGATGTCGCCCTCTGAGTTGTCTTCTTGCTGTTTTTGCTATGTTTTTAGCCATTATTTCGCCTAGCTGTAGTTCTTACTCTTGAAACGAGTGAAGTGTCCGCCATTTTAGTTTTTACAACGAAAACAACTCAATCTCGTCCCCAGGTCTTCCCGGTTAACGGTGCATTAACCTGTAGAAGGCTGCATTTTTGACGTCATTTCCTCGTTAAACACAAAATTCTTCCAAATTTGGTCATCAGTTACTGGTTATGGTGAATTATGCGTGTGCTTTTAGCCAATCAGAATTGGGGAAATATTTTGAATGAATAATAAAATACCTTAACGCACCTTGAGCGTCGTCCTGATCAACTCCCTTTTCATCCATTTCTTTCAGCTCCCTCATCTTCTTTTCAACAAAACTATGTCCGATTTCCAGTATTAAGTCAGCGTTCTTAAGAAACTTCTTAAAGACTGGTGTGTCTATGTATTGGTAGGCAATTCTGCTAAATATATTAAATGTAAGTTGTTGGGCAAGTTCAAGGAAGTTGTTAACCGCCTCTGTGAATTCCAGTGCTACCTGAGGCGGAGGATCTTCATATAATCCGAGACGAGTGTCAAATGCTAGTGTACCAACACCTGCAACAGTTTACAAGAATAATAAAGCTGGGGTATACAGGAGGACACGAAGGGTTTATATATACAAGGCTGGCTCAAGAAGGAAGTGTGGCCCCTCTGTGTGGCACTCTAGCCTCACAGGGATGGAGAAGCCACTCACTATGTTAATTTGCGCCACGCGTATCGAATCCTGAAAGGACCTGACAAGCGTAACTAGGTGATTTCCTTATACAGCATTACAGCTGTGTCTATAACTAAATCCTCTTCTTCCTCCTAACTCCGTAATCCCCATTCGGGCCTCTCGTTAGACAATTATTATTGAGAAGTAGATTTTAACAGACAACATGTGATTGCCTGACAAAATAATAATAATGATAATGATAATGATAACGATAACGACAACGATAATGATAATACTAATGCTAATGACAATAATAATAAATATTATCATTCGAAGCTAATTTTTCTTTCTTTTCATTAGCTGAGAGCCCACCACGTGACCTGCAAATAACTGCCTACAAATAATGTCTGCTCATGCGCAATGCCGTCCAACAGTGTTTGGCTGCAAATAATATTCTGCTCATGCGTAAGGGAAACCCTGCTTTTCTCCTTCTTGGATCGCTCTTGCGTGAAAATGGCAGATCGCTTCGCTTCCGAAGGATATTCATTAAAAAAAATAAACTCGGTGATGGAATGATAAAACAATTATTGAACTCGGTTGTCGCAAAATATCGTGATTTGTCAGTGTCTCGCAGATCAATTATTTGCCTCAGCCTTCGGCTTCGGCAAATAATTGGTCTACTCGCCACAGACAAATCACGATATTTTGCTCAACCTCCTCCAATAATTGTTAAATATCGATAGTTCTTATACATAACAGTTTTACCGCGTAGTGACGATGCAAATGTCATCTACAGCTGTCATCGACTTCTCCAAAACCTAGTTTTATAAGCTTACCTTCTAAAGACCATCGATTTAGTTCCTTGTCCAAGTCAGGAATGTGATCATCTTGTTCTTCCTTTAGTTCGACAAACCTTGCTACAGCGTCCTTACTTACAGCATTAAAGTTTAGAATGTTTTCTTCAACAATCTTTGGGCGCATGAGTTTCGGAGCGATGGTTTTCCGCAATCTGTGCCATTCTTCTCCATCTCTGTCAGAAAAAAGAAAGAATGAAGCATAAAAATCCCAAGATCGAAAGATGGAAAGTTTTACAAAAAGAAGCCTAGCGACAATCTTAATAAGAAAATTTCTTGAGAGTTAACTAATGTCTTAAGAGTTAACACGTGTTCTAAAGTTTTTCAGTCTTGGGAAAACAAAAAATGAAAGTAAACGTTCCCAGATGTATTTTCTAGATAAAACCTTACGGCTCCTGCGATTTCTGATTTCTTAATAGGCCCTTTGAAGTTCGCTAGTCAGTCACCCGGTACGGTGCGTTTTTTTGCTCTCCGGAAAGGCGTTTCTGAGTTGAGTCTATCTCATCTGTCTAGCATTTGTTTTCTGTGTCTTCGCGGAGTGTTTTACACTGCCAACATTTTTTTCCACCGTCCGTTTTAGATTAGTGCACATACAACTCGTGAGGCCAGCGAGTGTTGTAGCTGCTTTAACGATCGATCTCGCTTTCAATCTCCATGTCTCCATGCCTCTACAGCCAGGTTGAACGCATTGATCAGGTCAAAGGAAGCAATGTATAGGGGCATACAGTTTTCTACACTTCACCTGAGGTTGGCTAAGGGACTATTCCAGTTAGCTATAATAGTCGCTATAATGCCCATTTATGTCCTCTGGACTATCTTACATCGTTAATAGCCCCACGAGCATTTGTCAAGAATTTGTTAGGGTTTGAGTTCCCATGGTTGGGACATTTATCATGAAAGGTCTGCCCGAGGTGAGACTTGCTTATTGACGAATGTCAAATTTTCTTTTTCTTTTCTTCTTCTTTTTTTTTAAGCAAAATATATGCATTTTAATTTCAAAACACCTGCATTAATATGCGCACTTGTGGCGTGGGCGTTTAAAAATAAAACCACAGCTTTTGTTTCGGCAAGGATAGCGTGACGAGCCACAGCAAGGACCGGAAAAGAGTCTGAGTATTTATACATGTAATTGATGTATGTTTGCAATTGACTTTGTCGCGAGGTCTTCAAGAGCTAAAAGGATGGGGTTTAGATGAGATCGACTTAAAAATTTACTTCCAATGTAAAAAGAAAACGAAAAGTAAAGAACAAAGAGTCGTTTCTGCCTGAATGGTCCCGTTTATTTAAATGTTTGACTGATTACACATCAAACATGATGATTCCGGCCAGAACTGGCTCTAGCAGTAAAAGGGTGCTTAACTCAAGAAGGGATCAGAAGTATTTCTTTGAGCTCATTTTTCTTGTGGAGTCAACGCGCCGCTGCTGTTGAGCATTATCGCTGTGGCTATTATTACTTGGCAGCCGGGAAGGATCTTACAAAAACTTATTAAGTTATATAATTCGAAGTTATAATATTACATGAGGCTAAATGCCCGGCAGTCATGTTATGAAACAAGCGTGTAGCGTGATTGTGAGATGGTCTGATTTTATTCCTTTTAGATTTTGTTACTAATAGTTTCACTCGTCTGTCAGACCGACAGAAAATTTGATGACAGATCGGATTAAAAACTAAAGTTTCTAGATTCACAGAAGTCACTATTTTGTGTACTGTGTGAGCGAGCCATTGTACTTTGAGGATTGAAGCTGTGAAATAAACCCTGTTTTTGTTTAAAACTGTGATATCGTGAAGAACGACCCTTCGGCATTTACGACAGTCAGAAGATTTTCTAGAATTTCTGCAAAATCCCTTTTTCTAATCGTTTGAAAGCATTCCATCTTTATTTAGAATAACCAAGCGATCAGGAAAACAAAACTGGCTTCGCAGTTGAGCGGTTGTGGTTTCTTGGGCATGGAGTAGAGTCATAGACTAGAAAAAATTTCGTGAGTAGAAGTGCGTGACTCACAGGCACGATTTCATACAGGCTATAAAATACCCGCAAACCTCAAAGCGGAGCTGGGAAATTAAAAAGCCTTCTCTTAAGCTCCAGAATAAATGCACCTAGCCTCGATTAGTTTCCCAAAACAATCGGAGAGAGAGTGCCTTGACTTTGAAACTTTACTTCGCAACCTCGATCGAGACGCCTTACTTGAACAGCTTGATAAACTGGTGGTGCTGCTGAATCTTGGGAAAGCGTTCCTCTGATTCTCCTCAAAATATTCTGTAATGGTTTAGAATTGGCCAGTAACGAGAAAAAACAGAGTTTCTTAACCAGAGGTTAAGTATCACTCAGTTTTGAGTAGGCATAGTCTATGTGGTGGTTGACTCAAAGGCACGGTTCCTCCTTAGTTTAAATGGCCGGCAATCCGATTTGTCGAGGGAATTTAAACATTAAGTGTCTCTTTAGCCCTCATTGAAAGTATTTCATCGACCTTCAGAGTAGCCAAGCAGGTACGAAGGGTTCAATAAACGGCTAAACATACGGTGTAATAAAGCAGACTGCTACGGGTATTTAGCTTGGATGAAAACGTGCCAGTGAGTCACGCAATGCTTCACGAATTTTTTCAGCGTCGACTCTACTCTATGACCAAAAAACCACAACCGCTCAGCTGCAAAGCCGTTCTTGTTTTCCTGATCGCTTGGTAATTCTAAAAGAAGATAGAATACTTTCAAACGATTAGAAACAGGGATTTTGCAGAAATTGTAGAAAATCTTCTGACTGCCGGGCATTTAGCCACATGTAACATTATAACTTCAAATTATTATTTTTTTTACAAACAATCATTAGTTATTGGTTTACTTACACTTGAATTATGCCAGGGAAATGGTTCCTTCGTTTGCGGTGCTCGACCATAAAATCAAACATCAGCCTACGCGGATATTTTCCTTCTGCCCTAAAAACCTTCTCAAAATCGTCTGGCTCTTGAACGTGCACAGCCGCGATCGGCCAAAGCATCAAATTTTCTTTGTAAATTGGACCAAGCTCGTGAAACAAGCGCTCCGTTAGTTTGTAAGCTTTGGTAAAGCCCTCGGTCTTTGTACAAAGATCGTACATGAACTTCAAGCCATTGGGTTCTGGAATTACTCGGTAAGATCGTACTCCATCGAACCTTTCTGGGCTTTCTACCCGTTTCGGCTCTGATCTCTGTGACCTCCAGGACAGCGTTAAAGGTTTACGATAAGGTTTTGTAAAATCGAGGATATCCCTGCGAAAAGCGATCCTTGGGGACAACATTTAGTTTAGAATTTAGTGGGATGTCGCAGGTTCATTAGAACTCCAGAGAAGACTTATCGGAATGAATGTCAAGAAGGTCATGTTGAGCCTGCAAAAACCTTGCGTGCGGTCAATTCTATTGACTTGGGTAGGTCATATATGAAGTACCTATCTGGTTTTGTGTCAAAAGCAAAAAAAATTATAACGCCACAAGAGGGGTCACAAGCAGGGGCGGATCTAGGGGGAGGGTGCAGGGGGTGCGCACCCCCCCCCCCAACTCCTGAGATGACCTGCGGTTTCCTAATACAACTGGTATTCTGCAAAGAAAAAAACTATGTGGTTTATTGGTGTTGAAGTAGAGCAAGAGACGAGTGCACCCGCTCCTAAAAAAAATCCTGGATCCGCCCCTGACAAGATTTCTTTGCATTTCTTTGTACTTGCTTAAGTAATAAACATAGCTAGGGCTAAAAGCGAAGCTCCCATTAATAAATTTATTATTCAAATCAGACAATAAACTTGTAATCCACAAATCATGAACTCGCCTGTCAAATTTTGACCAATCAGAGCATAAAAATTAGACGTAGAGCGTGACAAACGCGTAACCATGGTGAGAAAAGTCAAATGCAACTGTATTCCCTGCCTTTCAGGCTGAATTTTCGCTTCCGAGCTCCTTCCAAGGTCAGTCTGAAATCAAAATTTCAATAGTGCGGCACATAAACACGACTTATTTCATATGAATTTTAAAAAGGCGGATAACTTCAAGAAAACTCAACCTCGTTGGGTCGATTTCTGAGCCCGCGATACGGTCAGGTGATACTGGTTGGCGGATACCCTGTTTTGACAGCTGTCAAGTGATAACAACGTTTATGTGCAATATGAGGAAATATGAAAGCAGTATCAGGTTGCTCCTTGGCTCCCAAACTAGCTAGAGAGTGTGAGATTAAACATTGGTTGCCCTGTGGTGTGGACGAACGGTCGCTCGGTGTACGGTCAAGTGATTACTAAATTTTCTCGGATGGGTTGATTATCTTAGCAAAGCGCGCGCGTGGAGCTCCGCTAAAATGTTTTTACTACAATTATGGAATATTGTACTAAGGTGAATATCACTTTTTTAATAAGGTCGACTAGAAAGACCGAACTCACATCAGTAAAGGTTAAAAACACCAAGAAGCTGCCAGTTCATATCATGAAACTTTTATTGTTGTACCTAGACAAGATTTATCATGGAACCCTTTTTTTTACGTGTGATGTCTAACTTTTTGGGTTCTGTAATTCTGTTTTCTGTTTTTTGATTCTGGTTTTAATTCGGTCAGAATCCTTACAGATCTAGGCCATGAATAAGTCTTCTTAAATACTCCTGCGTCATATACTTGAGCAGTGCACCAGTTCACCGTGTTTCGAGGACTACAAGCAGATGTATTTGCTAACTCGTTGTCAATAATGTCAATAAATGCCTAATTATTGTGTTCGCGGTCGTTGGCATTGGTGTGTGTAAAGTGATTAACTTAAGATAAGATACCTTGGAAGTTGAGGAGAATTAAGATTAAACCACAAATATTAAAGAGGCTTTTTATATTACTATATAAACCGCGCCGCAGCTCAGACCGGCAGCTTAAGTCCGTTGGTTAAAACACTACTCGAAGTAGTTGACACTACAGCTGCCCCTGCTCTATATATTGTCGGTCAATTGTATCCTTGGTCGTTGTGTAGCTCTTTGAAATATACCCATTCATAATGAAGATGTTCACACATATATTCCATACAATATAATAAGTGAAATAAAAACAGGAAACGCAAGGTTCCATGCACTGATTCGGTTTGATTTTCCCATCTTTGATCAAAACATTCTCAGTTTCGAGAATATTTTATTCTAACCCTTAAGAGAAGATCTGATTGGACGTTGGAATTTTTTGCTATTTGTCCTTCGCTTTTTACATACAGTTCATTTATTAGCCGGAGTCTTAAAAATTTAAAGGTTTGATCAATTCACGCTTACGCGTTCTAGTCATTTTTTTAACTATAAAGACAATAATTTAGAAAAAACTTTACAGAAGGACATCTGTGAGAAGGGAATGCGTAAGCACAGAATTTAATTGTCGGCGAATTACTGTAATCGTTCATAGTTCTGCTAGTGATAAGCTAGCCGTTGATTCACTCGTCTTTGTGGACTAAGTCTTATTCCCCCAAAGAGAGAAAAAGGGTGTCTGGCAAATTTTTTCCAACCAAAGATTTGTGAATGATAAACTCGTGTCTCAGTGGTAAACTCTCCAAATGTTTATATATACACAGTTATACGCACCTTATAACTTTATCTGCGCTTAACGAGTGTCTTTTTGGTCCATAACTTTCAAAACTGATAATACGTCGCGCAAAAGAGTATCGAAGTATAGCTGTACAATTAGTGAAATCAACCTAAGCGATCCCTTCGAAGATTTTCTGTTTTACGTCATCCTAACCATCTCTTACTTGCAGGCGTGAAAAATAGAAACGCCATCACTACCCAACGATTCCATGCGGCACCTGATCAAGCAAATCGAGATTTTTTCTGGTATGCTGACTGTATATTTCAACTGTAAGTACTTTTCTACATACACGCGCGAGCTATACTAGGATGCCTCCTCGGGATTTCGCCTTCCGAGGGAAGCGAACTCTTTTAATTCTCTTGTGCAAAAACTTTCTTTTGTTCCAAAAATTTGCATAGCTGCTGATCACATAAGTTGACCATACACAAGTCCCAAAGGTACATTATGAATGGGCGTACATGTAGTATTGATAAAATTAACGACTCTTTTCATCTTATGAAAGCGGATGTCAAGGACTTTGAACAAAGTCTAAAACGTTTAAACTCCACCGAACAAGACAAGAACTTTCGGAGACGCACTTGGTGAGTTTCTTACATTTATTTGATTGAACAAAACTTGAAATGTCCTCTATTTGCACTGTAACTTTTACGGCAGTCAAAGTAGGATTTTTCGCCATTGAAAAAAAAAATGGCGAAATGACTTAATAGCGAAAAACTCCAACACAGTTCTCGCTCAAAATAACATATCGCCAGTGTACAACTTAAAACATAGGAAAGAAGGCTGAAAGTTGTGAAAAAAAACATGTAATTCCAATCGAACCTTTGCCATCGCACAACGTTCACTTGCCTCAAAATTTTTTCGTTGGTATCAGCATATTTGTCTTGCTGTTCACAGTCATTAACCTTACTCATAGCAGGCCTTTTCAGAGCTCCTGATGTAGGGAGAAATGTTAAAACTATTGATGATGCTGCCAAATTTACACTCAGTAGGTGTACTCGTTTTTTTTTAGGTATGTGAAAGACACGATGAGGTAATGGGACGTAATGAGGACGGCATGCTTTTACATTTGTGGGCGGAACCCACATCTCATCATTCTTCCCTCCGAAACAAAAACACTAACCAGGGATGTGTCTGATAAAATCATGAGTTGGCTATCACACTGATTAATTTTGATAATAACAATGACGTCGATGACGTCAGTCGCTTACAATATAGGAAGGAACTTGAATCATCCGCCATTTTGAATAAATTAAATAAATTTATCCTGCTTACAAATGGCATAGCTAGATGGAAAACGTTTTTTTGTTGTTGTTGTTTTTATTGAAAATGTGAATATTTTATGGGAAACATGGGAGCCAATTTCGGTTGCCAGGATAAGGTCAATATTTGATGTACACATCTCGAAGACTTAAAAAATATTTCTAAATAAAAGTCTCTAAGTTTGGTGACCATAATGGTTTGAGGCCCTATGTGCCACGAGGCACCAAGAGCATGGGCGAACTTGAACGGTGTAAAAGTTGTTTAAATTTAAGCCGAGGGGGCCTCAAAAACCCTTTCCGGTCTGAATCAGATTCTAAAAAGGGTGTTGTAAGAAGCTGTAGAACCATTCCCTTGTAACGTTCTCAAAAACGTTCGATAAACTTGATTTTGACCGGTTTGTCGGGAACAGTAAGCATCTTTTGACGTATTTCTAGTGGCTCGTGGTGATACTCGAAGCGAAATCTCTGAAGTAACTGCAATAAAGAGAGATAAAAAGTAAGAAAAGAGGAAAGGTGGAAGAGGGGAGGAGAACTAGGAAAGAGGAGGAGGAGGATGGCGGAAGAGGACGAGATGGAGGAGAAGGACGAGGACGAGGAGGACAGTGGAGGGGAGGAGGGGAGGAGGGGGAGTAGGATGATTGAAAGGGGAAAGAAAAACATGCAGAGGGGTGGGTAACAGTCTCATTTTCTGAAGAGATGTACAACGTTTCCAGATATAACAGTACTGACCCTGCACATTAGCACGTACATCCCTAACTCAGCCACACGACGACCTACAAGAAAAGTGCAGATCATGCTTTAATACTGCAGTCTCAGCATCCTGTATGGCTGAAAACAAGCCCCCTCCCCCGACCTAACAACAACAACAACAAAATCAAAATCATAATCTTACCAAAGGACATTGATTCAGCCAGCTAACTGCTTAATTTTTCTGCAATTGTGTGGACAAATTGGGACAAAGTTTCATTTGTGGTGCTTTTTTTTTTAAAAAAAACTATGCATCCCCATTGCTTGCCATTAGCCCTAGTACATCTCCACAATTTTTAAAAATTTTGCATCATTTTCAGCATTATTCCAATGTGCCTTTGATTAGCTGTGATAATGCGACTAAGTGATTAGTGTGTACTTAACAAATCGACCACAATTTTTCATGGTTTACACTCTTATAAACCTTAGAAATGACGTCATAAAATGTTCAAAACTCAAGTGGAACCACTCGCCTGCGGCTCGTGGTTTCACTGCAAAGTTTTGAACATTTTACGGCGTCATTTCTATTGTCTATTTAAACAAAAGACCGCACTTTCGATGGGTTTACCGGCGTGATAACCCACGCGGGATGTTGGGAGAACACGAGAAAAGCTTGTAAATCACGAGCAAAAAAAAATCGTCTCGTAAATCGTCTCGGGAAACATCAGGACTCACGGGAAAACAAAACTAACTGTTTCCCTTGAGATCTGACATTAAGTGTATAATGTACTAGTCAGTTCCAAAACCGCCTATCTCCCCCCGGGCATATCTCGGGCATTTGACTGGAGTTTACCTCCGTACAGTGGGGATTTTGACCCAAAATGAGGCCCGCCCAGTCGGGCATTTGACTTTCGTGTCAAAACGTTGGTGAGCGGTCGCAATCAAAAGGATTTCGTAATTCTTCCGTTCAGCATGTGCTCAAAAAAACGGAACATGTCTAGACCAAAATTTAAAAAAAAAACATTAAACTTACTATATTATTACATAGTATATTCTGAGACTTAAAATGAGAATATTCGTGTGAGTGCCTCACGAGGACATGAGTCACTGTATCGATCCAAGTTTAATTACATCACCCTCACAGTTACCGAACCAACATACATCGAATAACGTCTCTTCTTACCAACACACATACGAGGCCCAAATCCAAACTGCAGATGAGAAAAAGAATGAACATCTTTAGTCCCTCTTAGCCAGCGCTCCGGTTTAAACTCCAAAGGATCTTTGAAGTACTTGTCTAAGCGTGTCGTTGCATATAACTCCATCGAGACAAAAGTCTGTTAAAAGTCATTTATAATGATGAGAACTTTAAAAGAAAGGTTTCTAACTTGGGTGTTTCTTATCCTACACATTGACCATGGGACGAAGAACGCAGGGCCCAAACCTCTGCGAAACCAACACAAATGTCCCCACTCTCTAGTCCCAGCCAAACTGTATGATTAAGTCATATTGGACTGTCGTTGTGAAAGAAATACTCAGAAAGGGGCACAAGATCAATATGTAGAGATCCATGCTAATGGGGTCTGGGTTTAAGACCCCATACGGTACAAACTCATCCGAAATTTGTGGGAGTACCCACCCTTGGTTCCCTACTCTTAAATGTCGGGCTGGACGGTCCTACCACTTACTTGAGCTGGAACGTGGTATCCCGATAAAACCACATCCTCATCCAAAAACCTGACATTGGCTGTGGTACTTGGAGTCAGTCTAAAAAGTAGCAAGAATACGAAGGCAGAATTATTTTCTTTTTTACACACCCTGTTTAAAGCACGATCCTTTTTGGCGGGAAAAACGGGGCGTATTTTCGGAATTTTGCGGTATTGTGGGAAAAGAATTGGACAAGGAAAATCATTGTTTTTTGCTATATATCTATTTTTTAGAGGAAAAAAAATACATGGCTTCCACCCTTGTCCTGACGCCCCCAAACCCCGATTACATTAAGTACGAAAAATGTAATAGTAGAATTTATCTTCTTTTCATAGTTTTACCTCATGGACTCCTTAAGACACGCCTTAAGATAACGCAGTTTAGAGAGATGCTGAGGTGTCACGTCCCCATCGTTCCCCAAAACACTTCTTATTTCTTGGTAAACTTTTTCTTGGACGGTAGGAAATCGCGCCAAGTTATACAACCACCAGAAAGTAGCGTTCGATGTCTGCACGGGAAAGAGGCAAAAAAAATACTTTAATTTTTTCCATCTGCGCAAGATGGAATCTTACTGTTTCATTACCGCTTAGCAGTTTATATTTCGTAATTGGTCACTTTCAGAAAAGTTTTCCGGAGAGCATCATGTAACGCTCTAAGATGGGACAAAGTTAATACAATTCGTACAGACTGCATCGCCCAATATCTTACCGTAGTGTCGTTTCATTTGGATAAACCGATCCGATCAGGGCTGAAACAGAAAGGTACGTTATAGGCTCGATTGCCTTGTACCAGGCATAAAAACGCTTTGTCGGTGTTAGCTTACATGTGTAGGTGACTGTGCCTTAGAAAAAAAATCCTCCAATTAAGAAAATTGGATCAGCGGGTACTTGGCTTTGATCCATAAGCTAGACTACGAGCAGTCTCTTTTTTTCTTGGTCCACTGAGCTAAACGCGCGAGACACGCGCGTGACTGAGCCCCTCACTAAATCTGAAAATAAGGGACTGCTCGCAGTCTATCCATAGGCCTGCTTGAGGGGATCAGAGGTGACAATTTGTGTGCTATGTTTCAATGTTTATTGTAGCTATTCCATGAAAAATTCTGTCATTTATCGGCCCGATAAAATAGTAGTGTTTTGCTAGCTATTTAAGTTGTTTTGTAAGCCTTAACCCAGCCTTAACCAGGCACTTTTGACTGCAATTCACTCGACTTGAAAATTTCTAGACTGAAACGACACCAGCTTGAAGCTTCACGGAGTCAGATTAAATTTGGGCTCAGTGAAATGCTTCTAGGGACCACTAACGTACCTCCTGAGGTCAGATAAAGGCTTTTAATCGGCCTTTGAGTAAATTTTTATTGTTCTAAATTGCCAAGTAATCGAATGAATTAATTTTTTTGCTAACTCGGCTTTCAAACTCCAGTTATCTTACTGTGTCAACACCGCCAGTAACAATATCAATTGCATGTCCGTTAACCTCCTCGGGAGTAAGGTCTTCCTTCATGAGTAAATATGCCAGTAGTGGAACAACTAAAGAAGAAGTACGACAAAATTCATTGTATCTTAACTGATAAGGAGAAGGAAAGTAAGAACAAATAGTGGATTGCCCTGGCTCCAGAGGCCTGTTCTCAAAATACCTAATATGAAAAAAACCGCATCCGATAAGAAAAAAATATCCTCTGGAACCCAGGGTAACAGTTGATTCACACAGCCATTAATATTTATGGCCAGGTATTAAACGAAATCTGACTTAATAAACTATTTATGAGGTGTTATGAGAGGGATTTTCACATTGCAGGTAGATATTGGGAAGCTAAAGCAACGTCACCCAAAAAGTGAATTTGCGATGTTTCAATCTTCATCGCTCTTATTCCAACTCGACTTTTAATTTGTCAAATGTTGGCGATTTTTTCAGGAGTTCAATTCTAAACCAAACGACTATGGCTAAGTAAGAAAAAGAAAATCGTTGTCTTGTGTTCTCGTCCTCCATAAAAGGTGAAATTAGGAACGTTCACGTCGTTGTCGTGCAGTGACGAATGTACTATACAAAAAAGCGTGATGCACGGGAAAAGTTGTTGTTTTCACCGATCTAAACTTGACGTTCTCGTTGCCGTCGCCGTCGTCGTTGCTTAACCTCCCTAATTAAACTTTACTAACGGATCCTTTCCAGACGTTTAAGCCTTTCTATTTTTCTTTTTTTGACATCATAAAGACCTGATAGACAGGTTAGCCTTCTTTCCTCAGGCTCCGCCCTCGTTTCTCGCCGCCCGCCCCTCGCGCGTTCCCTCGTTTCTCGTGCTCGCATTCTACCGTGTCTCAAAAGAAAAATAAGAGACTGCTCGCAGTCTAACCGAAACTCCCTATTACCGAGACGAGAAGAAATGAACCTCATTCCGCTAATTCCGTAATTAAACGGGTCGAGCGACTAGATATATATAGTCACATTCTAGTTATTCCCTTTCTAGAATGATAACATGTCTATCATCAATAACTGTGCACGCTTGTTTCATTAAAGAGCAGAAATAAAGTAGAACCGCTACAATGTTATTACGTTTTGGTGAGTTGAATGGACAAAAAAGCTGCAAACTGGTACAAACCACCAAAAACAGAACTGAATTGTTGATTGCTTTCAAGCTCTGTACATGTATCGTCATCAAACTTTAGTCCACCTTGTAGTCTAAAGAAATATGCTGCACTGAGCCCAACGGGTGCGCTTCTTTCCAAAAAAAACCAATACGGCAATTCATTTTGTGGAAAGCGGATTCCATGTATATGATCGCTGAGATTACTAAATTCTATCTTAGCGATAGTTGCCGGTCAGTCACCGCTAAGTTTATTGTGCAGTGATTTCAGTCTTCGTAGCGGAGTATATGGAAAACCGGTTGAATAACCTGCCCTTAGTATATTGTTTACGCACCTTGGGCGTTACTCGGATCAATTCCCTTCTCTGCCATCATATTCAGTTCCCTCATCTTGTTGTCAACAAAAACTTGCCCGATTTCAAACAAGGCGTCAGCATTGATAAGGAACTTCTTAAAAGTCGGCGTGTCTATGTAAGGGCGAGCAATTCTGCTAAATATATTGAACAGAAGCTGTTGGGCAAGTTCGAAGAAGTTATTCACGGCATTTGTGAATTCCAGTGCTGACTGAGGCGGAGGGTCTTCATACAATCCAAGACGAGTATCAAATGCTAATGTACCAATACCTGCAATGGTTAACAAGAATAATAACGAGGCGGGTGCACAGGGGAAAACGGAGGGCTTTTTATGGTTCCCCTCACAAAGCCGGCTCAAGAGTTTTGGCCGCGCGGTGATATGGCGCTTCCATTCAGTCCCGAGCAATCAGGAAGCTCACTCAGGAACTAGGCCATTCATGGGAAAAGAAAACGTCGAAACAAGGATTTAAGGTCACACCTAGAAATCCAACTCGAATCCTCCCACACAGAAGGGCCTCAGATCATTAGCCGGCTGTGCTATTCCTTGAGCTTAGGACTAAAAATTTTGGCAAAACTTCGGCTTGGAAATAGAATTTTGGGCCTCCCAGCTCACAGGGCCCTCGATAGAGAATGATTAATCGCCGGACGTAGTTAATCGATAAAAATCGATATCGGAAATCGATAGAAATCGAAGTCGCAGAAAAATATTTTTTCGATTATGATCGATTAACAAAATCGATAACAATCGAAAGGAATCGATAGCAATCGATAAAGAATCATCAACTTCTATCTGAAAATCATCGATATTAATCGAAGTCACAACTTTTTTCCTTATCGATTTCTACCGATCGATATCGGAAATCGATATTCATCGATGATTGACATCGATTACTATCGATTATTATCGATTATCGGTTTATCAATTAACTACGTCTGGTTAATCGTTATCTATTTAAGTGAAGTCAATGGTAAGATTACCTTCTAAAGACCATCGATTCAATTCCTTTTCCAAGTCAGGAATGTGATCTAACTTGCAAGCGTCGTTTAGTTTGACAAACCTTGCTACGGCATCCTTGCTTACAGCATTAAAGTTTACAATATTTTCCTCCACAATTTTTGGGCGCATGATTTTCGGAGCAATGGTTTGCCGCAGTCTGTGCCATTCTTCTCCATCTCTGTTAAAAACATCATTTTCAAAACGGTTTGTTTTACTTT